ATATATGTGTCATCAGGATGCAATCATATATCAAGTTTCAATGTAATAACGTTATCTTTAGTATTGCACTTAATGACCATAAGAAGAACTTTTTCACTCAAGTTGGCAAAAGCTCCTGTATATAAAGAGAAGCGCCTGGGAAAAAAATATTGTATTTAATTTTTACCTAATAATCGCATAATATGAAGTTCGACACCTACTATGCTATTACAGTCGTCTGCCAATAATATCTTAAATGAATCATTAGAAGAAACAACGTGCAATATGTGAAATTCACTATTAGGAATAATGTATAAAATAATGTATACATGTATAATGTTTATATAATTCAAAATTTGTATACCAGTACATTTTCTCCAGGGCGACGAACCAACGTGACTTCTTATATGTTAATGCGTGGCAAATTATGCAAACAAGACAGGACCGATTCGTCGTGAATATCTTATACTGAGCGTTTCCATCTTTTTAACCCTACATTAGCATTTTTCTTTGCTGGTTTCTCTGATTTTCTACAAACTATTATCGGTTGATTCAGTCGATGAATTGTTTTGAAAAACGTGCGCGTATTAACTAAGTGAATCACTTGGCAAAACACACACATCATATTGGTGACTATCAAGTAATGTACTTTCTAAATAAAGAAAATCTATTCAGTATTATTATAGGTATTATTAAAACAACCTAACAAATTGAATATAATTTTAAATCTCCCACCGTGAAAGTTGTCCAAAAGTGACTTGGTTTCGTCACCCAGATGTTGAATAAAATATTGAATATTGTTACACGTCATGTAGTTTTAAAAGTTCTTAAGTTTTACACATCTTTCTGTTTTAGATACTCCGGTCGATCTGTTTAAGAGGCTTTTGACCTTTAATAACAGCTGTATCATATCGTTACCTTAACGTTGTGTCAGTCATGCAAAACATAAATATAAGTTCACGAAGTAAAGAAAAACATAAAAGAACTGTCAATGTTCACGTGAAATCATACAATTCCTTTATTACGTTAGAAGAAGAACGCGGTAAAAGAAGAATAAATCATACAAAGAATTAACGTTCCCATGGATGATTTTGCTTTCATCGAAATATAACTATAAAATTACATTGTTTCAGATGTGCACTTATATGATTTTCTTGCGGTATTAATTTTCTATCAAATGTCATACGACATTGTTATTTATTCATGCATATGTAAGTTTTCTTCTGGAGATTTTAGAAACAAAAAGAACTAAAACTTGTACTCATACTATAATAGTTCACATGATGATCATATCATAAAGTGTTTGTGTTTTTAAATAGATCAACTGGCCCACTAAAATCAGAAATATATGCAAAAGATAATTAAGAAATATGCTCAGAAATTCGTATTGAAAATCGTATTTTTGTGCTATTCGTTGCCAAATTTGAATAAAAAGCGTTGCAATCTCAATAAAATCATTTCTAGTCCCGTAATGGCGAAACACCTCTGTGGAGTCCCTTTAAAATTCTCATGTACATATCATTTGTCTCTTTTTAATTAATAGTAATAAATTTAAAGTAAAGTTACAGAAAAAATAAAGTCGATTAAAGTGAAATTATGCTCATTTTTTCATTGTGTATAGTTGAGCTGAATTAGAGACTGACTGCTTTAATTGTGAGGGACTAATAATAGTTCAAAATAGTGTAATATTTCAAGTATTCCAGTATACATTTGGGAGAGCGGTTTTATAGAATGCTTTAAATGGTGCATTATGCATGTATGTTGGTGACGATAATTATTATAATGAAACAATCAGTAACTTACAAAAATGCGCTCATTTAATATAGAAGATACGCACAATACATCAAAAATAAGGGAAATAACTCTATATGTATAGGATATCTTGCTTTGGATGCTTTTCACACACAAAAAAAGCGCGAGTCTTAAATCCTAGAGCCTTTAGGCTGTACATTTTGAGAACCCCTATAACATGCTAACTTAATAAAAAGGAATCTTTGAAATATTTTCTCTATCTAAAGCATAACTATGAAAGAAGTATGGTCGATCCTACAAGACAAAGAATGTCATAAAGACTTTAGATTTTCCTATAAACGCACTTACACCACGGACAACCAGCTTGTCGCTATACGTTTATCCGGTCAATTACTAAATGCTATACAACTACATGTGCTTTGATTCAATCATCATACAATTATTATATGGTTAATTTTAAATGTATTAAGTCGCTCCACGGACTTTTATTGACAATTTAAATCCGTGGTCGCTCTAGCTGTCTATATACAGGCATTGTCAATATATTCTGGGAGGTACGGGACAATCTTCGAATTCTGTACAATTAATAGTTGGCACGTCCCTTAAAATCACTAAACTGTAACTTAGGCCTAACTATATATTCATATACATTAAATATGTATCTTTCTTTCTTTCTTTAAAAGTGTTATATATAAAGTTTTACAGATACTTGAACGATTATGTAATGAAGCGACTTTTAAGCCAAGACACCGAGCCCAACACTGCACTGTAATTCTGGCAAGCGCGGGAGCCTCAATTGAAACAAAAATATACTTCCGTAAGCTGACCTTATAGTTTCCTCACATTATTTAAGCATTTAAGGTAGTACACCCCTAATGGGCACTATAAGGAATTGTAAATTTGACAACATAGGACAGTTATATGCCTTAAATGTCACCTGTATGCAAAATTTAAACAAAATTTACCGTGTGGTTTATGAGTTATGGACATTTTTATGAACTAAAACTTTTCCATTAGAAAGGATTTTTTCAAAAATGAGGAAACTCTAAATAATCTATAATATCATCATTATGAAAATTGTTTTCCTTTTGCTCATTGTTAAGAAATAAATAATGACATTTAGGTAACAAATTAAACAAGCAAAATGATTGTTTTTAAACGATATGTTTTTAATATGTTTAAAAATGTAACCCTACCCCACCCACTTTTAACACTAATTTGACCATTCCCCTATGTAAAAAGCCTTATTTAAGATATCCCTAAAATTTTCCAAAATGAGGGGCTATTTTCAAAGTTTGCCTAAATTTTCTTTAATGTAAATTGGTTGGTCTTGCAAAATATAAAATACTTTTACCGTTTAGTTTTTATTTTATTAAACTTTGGAAATATCTGGTATCATATTTGCTATTAAATTTGGCATTATTTAGTAAATAAATACCTACAATAATTATATAATTAAAATAAAACACTTTTTTCTTCCATAGGGGGGCTGAGAGATTAATAAAAAGTGTTAAAATGAAAAAAAAGAAAGAAAAAAATTGCCCCTTCTGGGGTTTGAACCCACGCCCGCTCAGTTTCAATACACTTTAAAGTGATTTGAATACTCTTCAAAGTGGAGACAGTGCATTAGGGGTGTACTACCTTAAAGTTCCTTGGCGGGACAGCGGTTAAAGTTACAGATCAGTAACAGATACCCATGTCTCTTGATGAGTGTGGGATATATTGCACTTTTTTGCCTTTGTTTTTTGTTCCATGACGACAGAACAAATTTAAGAGTAAGTGTACGAATGCCTTTTAGTTATTTTGCGTCTTTTTTCCCCCACGAATCTCTCTTTCAAAGACGTTTCTCATGATTTGCGAAGAAAGAATTTGAGGAGTTTCGCTAAATAAAGCGTTTGATAATTTGAAACAGGGTCTTTACTGAAATCTTGATTAAAAAAAAAAATATTGTAATAGATTTTTACAGCGTAAAGCAAAGTTTAAGGTGTAACATATATAATATGCATGTACGTTTCATTGTCAAGTGTTGTGTTGTATAATTGGCTATGTGTATTCTATTTTATTTTGTGACACACAGTATACATATGTTTTTCGTTTAAATTTGTTTGTCATGTTTCCCGCCCTTTTTTCCATTTAAGGTAGGTAAGTAAATTTGTATGTGTCATAACCAACTATTTTATCCTTCACTCCCCATTCTGTTCGCTAACTTTTGCGGTGCCAATGTACGTTTTTTGTATTTTTTGTGACTGCGTTTAAAACTGTTAAAAGAGCTATATACGTTCATTAAATTGTTGATATTTTGTGTATTCAACTTTATAGCCTTAAAAAATGACAGTAGAACTAGTTGGTTAGCTGGGGCCTTGATGAATCCCTGAGCTTCCTGCCAAAAAGCCGAGTTATCCCAAATATTTTTGTAAAGTATGTATGCAGTCTATGTTTCATGAGGGTCCATCAGCCCGGTTAGGCACAAAAAGCATTTATAAATTTCACTGTCGAGCACGTTACCAGTAATGCTTTTGAAGCACAAAGTGGTGATACTTTCGTCCGTGCAATTTCCAAAGAAATGAGTTTTGAGTCGGAAGTAGGTCACTGTACATCCAAACGTGCATCTTGTGACAATAATGAATGGAAAAGCTTAAGCTCTGATAAGTGTTGAACTGTTGCCAACAAAAGAGGACGTCGTTAAAAACGCCGAGCTTCGCACACGGGGCCACGTACATATGTACTTGCATCGTTAGCTGCAATCTATGTACAGCTTACGGTTAACATCTTGATATAGCTATAATTATGGGCCTACTCACCCTACTGTACCAATGTCGAGATTTGACTTACTAGGAACGAAAATACCATAAAACAGATTAGAAAAAACAGCTAGTATATTCAGACTTTTCTAGGCAGTAGTACTTACGGTTGGTGACAAATACGTACAGAAAAAATCGACTTTCAAAGATTATTATAATTCTGGGACCAGTCACCTTAAAAGTGTTAATTCAGAGTAGGCCTAATGGACGCTTTTTATAAAATCACTGGGAAGTATATTTTATAATGTGAATTCCTTACTGAATCACTAATCTATGTTAAACGTTAATAGAAGTTCCAAATATTGGGTATTTCTTTCAATTAAGAAATGATTACTTCGACACCAAATGGGAACGCAAAGCGTACGCAGTTTTACATTAACTGTTGTGCGGGGTGAATTCTCACGTTATACGAAAAAACGTGAACAACACCGTTGACCTGGGTGTGAATCTAATTTTAGTAACAATTACAAAAACATCCGGGCATTTGACAAACGTACAACGCGAGTTTAACTGTTGACTGTTGTTTTATTGGAAAGAGAACTGTCAAACGCTGTGTTATTGCTTATATTGATGGATCATTTGAAATTCAATATTTTAATGCATTTATTTTAATTCAAGCAGACAATCTTAATTCTTTAAATGCAAAATGCTATAGATTTATACCTGGACACTCATTTTGTGCATGTAAAATCACGTGACTTACAGTGGTAGTCATTGAGTCAAAACAGAAGGGAGCAAACAAGCCTTTGAACGACTGGAAAAAAGGGAAAATTAACTTTCTGAAAGGTAGATTTAACGTTTCTTGTGCCAAAGAATTTATTAAAACTGGTTTTCAACAAAAAATGTGTATTTAGGCCATGCGTATGTTTGACACAATTAACCATGTCATTGACATAATTAAATTCGTTCCTAAAACTTTCACTCCTTGCCTAATTCGCACCAAAGTAATATTGATGTGACTAGTTTACACCATTTTGTGTGATTGGTTTAGACCATACATCTTCAAAAATATTGAAAATTGTGTTATTTTGTTTTATAATTGATGGGGATTTTTTGTATGTTTGTAAATACTAGGGGTGCTTGTTTCACTGGAAGTGCCCATATCATTTTTTATGTTGCAAATATTATGTTGCAACAACTATGAAAATGTGAGAGACATAAGATTCTAATCTGAACATTTTCGTGTAAAGTCCATCAAAGTTTCCTTCAAATTGACAAGTATTTGTTCTGACTTCCATTTGAAAGACCCTAAAGTCATGAAGAATTATTGTTAGTACTCAACATAAGAATAAAACAATGTAATGCATGTGATACAAAATGAGATAAAATGATATTTAATGTATGGTCAATATCTTTTCTGACCCAGAAATAAGATATCTCAAAATATAACAACACTTTGGATGTCATAATATTTTCACAAATTTTTTGCTGAAACCTTAGAATAATCATAGAGATTGTAACAAAGAAATGTAATTTAAAACTTCAATTTCACCTGAAGATTAATTATGCTTTTTTCATGGCATTTTATTTTTTCTCATCGAAAATAATTTTATCCTGTAAAAGTGGTAATTGAACAAAATACATTAACAATTTATTGTCATTTTCTTGTCATTAAAGTTATCATGATTCACAGCAAGTTGATTACAGCAAAGTGGATTGGGATTTTTTTTTGAAAGGCAGTACTTCTTACATCATTTAATGGCCTGCTTGCAATGGCCATAGGGCACCAATAAGATATGGCAAAGATTCTACAAATTGTACTATTTTTTTTGGCTTCTAGTTTAATTTATCTATTTGAGCAGTTCTTAAACCAGGAGTATCAAAAAATCTTTTTTCTACTTTAGGGTTTCCATAAATATTATGACATGAAATAGATATCATAATCATATAGACACAAATTGAGTATCTAATATTAATTTATTAAGTCAAATTTAACCAATTATTGACTGGTCAACAAGAACACTCTGGTACATGAAAGTAAAAATTAATGACATATATTCAATCAGGGGTTCCATTAAGTTTCAAAGTTTGGAAGTCAGATTCTGAAATTGTCTGACTTTGGAAGTCAAATTATTTAAGCATTATACATTTTGGAAGTCTGAAACCAAAATCATGAATAAATGACTCACAAATGTCCACTAATGAAAGCCCTGTATAATGTATTTTGTAACAGAAAAGACTGTTAGTGGGGTTTTAAAATATGTTACTTTTTATGTAGTTAATTTTAATTAATTAAAGACATTGAGGTTATTATACTCCTTAGAGAAATGATAAATTTATTGTCTTTGCACAGTTAGTTTTTTTTCAACACAGGTTGATATTTCATACATTGATTCACAGTGACTATTTAGGATCATAAAATTGCTATTTCAAGTGGATGATAGTAAGTACTGATACCATACACAATATGCCGTTTTTAACAATTGTTGAAATCAAGGAAAACAAAGATAATTTTCAAATGAATACAATTACATTGTATGTACAAATATATGTTTGTTTTGATTATATTAGGATTATTATGTGTATTACAGACAATATTATATTTCAGTTTAATTGGGCTTGGAGTATGACAAATTTCCAAGCATTTAATTTTTTTTGAGATATAAAATATATAACATTCATTTCCTATTTAAAGTCACAATAAATATTGTTTATCAAATAATTCAATGATATATATTTTTTTAAATAGTACATGATAGAAATTTATGTAGATCTACATAATGAGGTAAAGAGAGAAGTTCAGTTGCAGAGTAACTTAATTAAAGCTGCTTCGCTTTGCCATTTAATTAATAAACAGATAATATTCTTATTAGTAAGAACTGTAGATTTTCCAATACGGTATAGTTATAAAGGTATACTTATTTGTTATTTTAAATTTTTCTATTTTAAATTCTACTTTAGCTTGAGGTATGTTATACGAGAACAATAGTTGAGTTTAACTGGGTAATTTCAATTTTAGCTTTAACTATTTCAGGTAGTGGTAAAATCAGACAAGATGGAGTGGATGATTATGAATTGTGATGGTGTCAAAGGACACTGCAGTAGTCTAGGAGACAGGGTGGAAGGGGTCTACCAGGCAGCAGATGACTGCTATGGTACGTAATAAAAGTTTTTACCATATAAAGCAATTTGTGATGACTGAAGGGTCTTACTTTTCGTTAAAGGTCACTTTAGCTTGTCTTTAAGTCTTCAAATTTTTTACAGCTCATCTGAGCACCAGTTTGTTTGACTCTTAAATTGTTTGGCCTTTAGTGAACATGTTTGTATGTATGGCTGGGTCTTAGCTACAATGTAGTCTTTTTTGCCAAGTTTATGTAGTTGAAGCATCAGAAAAACAGGACTTGCATAGATTTTGTGTTACTTAAGTTCGTTGCAAAGACTCAAAATATTCCATGGACAATATATCATGTCTTTATAAGGATTTTCTGAAGTTACAAAATTCTTTTTTTGTATAGTCTGATTAAAAAGAAACCTTTGTTCAAAGAAGATTCGCGAACATTTTTGAATAGGGTTTCATTATTGACTGCTGGATAGGAATAGGTGCTCTACATATAGAAATGTTTCCTGAACGGCTTCCTTGACGGCTACGTATGATCTAAATGTAAATTTCGTTCTCGATATACCATAATAGCAAAAGTTTGAAATAGACAACATGATTGGTAGGAGTTCTGTTAATTTCAACGTAAGTTAGTATAAAGGTGTATTAAGAAGTTTGTTAGCAAGAAAGTGACGTTGAATTTTGAATAGTTTGGAATCAAAGAAACGTAAATCTCGTTGTTATACCTGATTAGTTCATATTAAAGGTTATAATTTGATAGGAAATTATAATATTAAGAAAAAGATTGTGTGAATATATCTTTGACAAATATTTTTTTTTGAATACATGAATCAAAATTATATTGTTTTACTTTGCCTGACATTTGGATTAAATACATGACAGCCACATATTGTTTTATATCTGAAGTGAATTTCCTGTTATGTCTAAGAGGAAACAATTTGCTTTCTGGGACAGTCATGTGATCGAAAGTTAAAAGCCCGCTGAGTAAATTATGATGGCAATTACGTGCACTGTGACAAAATGGCTTTTAGAACTTAAAAGAGTCGTATAATTGTGATAGTTAATCAGATTGAGAAATTCACTTGGATGATAACAATTTTATCAGTTCGGATTTAAGTATGATAGGTGAACGGAGGGTAAATCTTAACAAAACTTGTGAATGCAGTAGTATCTTTATCTTGACGATGGCAAGTGCATTTGGATAAGAAAAGTTTATTGATGAGTATTTTGTGAACATTTTTTTAACATAGAGGAAAATTCCGGTTTACGTGATTCCCTGAATGTCTTCTTCGTTGGATAAGTATGATTGCAGTATGTGTTTTATTATACAGATAGAAAACAAATTTTAACATAAACAAATGCACGTTTCTCATAATAAATATTATGTAGGGATGTTGCAATCATTTGTGTTGATTATTCGTCCTGCGTGAAGTGTATTTAATGTTTTGATAACGATTTTTCAATGATAAAGATAATGTTCATTCTATCAGGACGTGATTTAACTTAGACGATTGTACTAGATGATTAACATAGTGGTGCGATCTGGTGTAAAACTGTCATTATTGAACCATGCTGTTTAGAATTGTTAAGAAGCTTTGCGGGCTCATGTTTGGATTGGTCCAACTAGACAAAAGTGTGTTGGATTTTGTTTTTATACGTAAATGTATCTTGCAGGAGTTATATACCCATATGGATTTAATTTTTCATACATGTATTGTACTGGGGTAAAGATTTAGAACGATTGCAGAAAAAAATATGACAGATATTCTGTCCAACATTCAGCAAGTATCTGTAAATACAGAAATATTTTCTTATATTTTCATAGTAAAATCAACATTAATATAATATAATTATTCCAAATTAATGGTCAGTTTTATATGTAATCATTTAAAAAATCTGGAATACCTTTTTGTTTCATGCTTGGTATATGTATATAATTAATAAAAAAAAATGTAATATGCCCATCTTGCATTATATGGTGGTTGAAACGGTGCTTTTAAATTCTAAGCTTGAGATATCCGTGTTATTTTGCCTTTTACTTTTTTCTACTTAAAAGTAGTTATTTCACACAATCATGTCTAGAACTCAGTTGGTAAGAATATGCCAGCTAGACTGCAATATTTTTAGCAGCTCCAACCACATACATAATTTGTGCACTGAGCTATAATGCATTGTTTAGCGGGAAGACAAGAAAATACTTTGAATACAATGCATTGAGCAATGGATTTCCCCTTGTGGTAAATTTGTTTTCACGTTTTGGTGCTATAACAAAAGATACCTTAACTATCAAATTAACAAGCCTTATAAATCTATTTGACTGTATTATTCCAATAAATGTCTGAAATACTGTCAGAAGGGGAGATGTTATTTTTTACATAGCTTTAAGGTTTCTTAAAGTTTTTTTTTATCATACTTAATTTACTAAAGTTGTTATTGTAAAAGGTAATACCATTTAATAAGAATGACCTTCATTTCTTAGAGATATAGGCTTGTGGCTTAAATGTATTATGATTAATTAAGTTCTTGATTACCAGCTATCTTATTTCTTCACTTAATTTTATAATTGACTAATACATAATTGACAAGTAATAGTCCAAGGTCTAATATAAGTTAAAGATAGCTTTGCTAAAATAAGAATTCTACATAGCTGTTGTTTACATATTAAACACTGTAAAATTTTATTTTGAGATGACTTAGAGTTGGAATCATATGTGTTACATTGAATGATTCAGTACTTTAACATTTTATTTTAAGATACAAACCTACTTAGATGAGAAAAATTTAAAAAGAAAAAAAAGTAGGGAATAAAATATTTATTATGATTAGCTAATGAAATTATTAATAGTCCACCGCAATGGCTTAGTGATTCTTTGGGAAGGAACAAAATTTTCTAATAAGAATTATGAAGACTTATTCTCTTTTTTAGCTGAAGTTGAAACTTAAGTAAGATCAAGGCTTAAGTTGAGAAATGACAATGGCTAGTCAGGGACCCTTAAATTTTCTGAATGTTGGTTTATGACTAGAATAATGTACTAAGTACAACTTTATAATCTTGATAAATGTTTAGTAAATAGTTTATGAATATTGTGCCTAATTTTGCAGAAACTCTGACAGCGTTAACAGAGAACCTACAAGAGGAAGACCCTATTGATAGAAGTACTCGGAGACAGCTTGCTGCCTCCCACCTCATACAACAAGTTGGTTATGATTTAAATATATTTGTAGAATTTCTCCTGCCCCCCCCCCCCCCCCCCCAAAAAAAAAATAGAAAGTCTTAAGTATATTGTTTTAACCCAGGTTAACGTGTTGGAAACCGAGAGTGACCAGCCTTTCCATTCATAATTAATAGAGCAATGCCAGCTGGCACATTTTTTGGAATGTGACCTGAGGTTCTCTTCTATTGGTTGACCAAACTCTAAAAATATATTATTTTTTCATTGAAATTGATAATGGACTGTGTCAAAGTGAAAGATGGAAGGATCAGTACAAATATTTACCTGATAAAGGGATAACCTAGTGTAAAATATGTATATATGTGTTTGTTTTTTTTTCCTTTAAAGAAAGCCTGATGTTTATCAGGAAAATGGTATTTTATACACACAAGTTAAATAAGCATGATGTCAATATATGATAATTGAAATGAGAAAAGGTGCTAATATAGAGGGACATTATTCACGCGGTAGTACAACGTGCTTGTTACGTCTACATTTGCTATATAGAGGAGTACATAAAATGTGTGAACATGTGAATACAGAGCAATGTTTGCTTCCTTGACAAATGTGCAGTCATTGACCCAACTCAATACTGTTGTCTGACTGACTTTAAAGGGACTCCACTGAGGTTTTTTGGCATGAAAGGACCGAAATTATTTTTTTAATGTTTTTGTATAATTAAATGTAGGCCTTGACCAATAACTCGTTTTGCACAATTTTGTATCATTCACTCATTTCGTTTCTTTGGAATAATCAAGTTTTATTATATAAATGGACCCAAAAAAGAAAAGTGTTTTAATGTTTCAAATTTGCCAAAAAATCACATAAAACCTGATTATTAATTCATTGCAGAGTATATTTATATATCATCTTTTGCATAGCTTTTAATTTTAAGTGTTCTGAATGAGTTGAGAAAGAATTTCAAATATTATGATTTTAGGCTACTCAGTGGAGTTCCTTTAAATTTTCATCTTGATATCCCCAAAATTGAAAGTGAATTATTCCAAAAGTGGAAGCTGGACAAGTCCATTTAAGAAAATTCCAAATATTAAACTTCAAGAGGTTAAGAAATCTCCCATTGTCTTAAAATGTAACTTGCTTCCTTTTTACTTCTATGCTATACACTGTAAGAACGTAGCCACTCATATTTATTTGTATTCCGTACTTGTTAAACATAGTTTAATTACTGATAGCCTAAAGTTAAACTTTTGTTTCTTTTCTTCAGGACTTAGTGCCTATGCTCATTGATCTTGAAGATGACCCAGAGCTTTTCCAGCTGGGTGTTCGGTAAGACTATATTCATGTATTCTTTTTTATTGTAAAAAGTCTTGAACTTTCCTCATGTTCCATTCATGTAATATGATAGCCGGTGACTCTTCACATGTTTTAAACAGAAATGAGATGAAAATATAATTAATTGAATGAATTGAAAGCTTTGGATCCATTAAAAAAGTTATGCTATCTGATTGGTTGAACTTTAAACCTCCTTCTGAAATAAAACACCGAAAAGTGAATATTTAAACAAAGCTGTCAAGTTTTGTAATATGTAATTATATTGTTGAAATTTAATTGTCATCTGCTAGCTGTTAGTTATGTGATGTTTTTCCTTTTCTGATGTGGAAAGGGATTTGAAAAAGTAACATAGTCGTCTTTGAATGTTTCATGATATCTGTTTATATACTTACTTCAGTCTTCTGGTCAGTCTAACGCAGCCAATAGAATGTCTGCAGCAGACAAAATGTGGGGAAACAAAGGGCCTACAAGGGGAGCCACCATGGGTGTGGGATGTGAATTCCATGCTCCTTGAGGCCAAAACAGCTTGCTCCGAGGAAAAGTTTATCAAAGCAGTATTCTCAGAAATCCAGAAAATTTTGGAAGATGTAAGTACAAATTTGACAAACATATTAGAGGGGCAAATAAGTTTTACATCTGCAAGACAGCTTCTTTAGCTTATGTTATTGAAAGATAAATTAAAAAACAGATTTATTTTATAAACTATTAAATACACTGGGTTTTGGCATAAAAACTTTAGCTTTCTAGTTGCAACTGAATTTACCCATGAAAGTAGTGCATACTAAGTCAGTTAGTCTATTTGTGCATATAAAGCCAGCCTATTTTGCTTCCATTGCTCATTATTGTTGGCAATGTTCACTTTTCAGTCACTAATGTTTTTCAAACCTCCTATAAATGTTGAAAGACTTGGTCCAGATTAATAAATGGACAAGTCCACTTAAGAAATTTAGCGCGGCCAGGTCACAGTAATAATATGTAATGTATTAAGCAGTAATTGTTTTAATTTTTTTTTTGTGAATTTATATCGTATACTAATATGATTATGATCATAAAAGAAGTGTTGATCCAATAATAAGATTCTATTTTTTAGCGGAACTGTCCTATAGGCAGGTAATGTTCATGCATATTTTGTTTTAATTTTACTATAGGCTGGAGAGTATGATTTGGTGGAAGTGGATTGTGAGTCGATTAACCAATGTTTGTTGATGATAAGGAATCTCCTTTACATACAAGACACTGCTCAAGGGCCAGAATATCTGTCTGGCATTCATATGGTTTTCTTGAGGTAAGGTTATTTTTATTTATGTGCTACAAGTCAGATGATTATTAAGAAAAGTTATCAGTTTGTGTTAAAACTTAATTATTTCTGATGGTTATGTAGTTCTGTGAGCAAATGAGCAAAAATATTTTCCTCCTCACCCACATCGATTTGTAACTTTTATCTTTATCTATGACGTTTTTTAACAAAATTCGAGCACAGCAGTTCAAAGTTAAATTTTCCCCAAGAGCAATATGGCTATTAGTTTATTCTAAAAAAAGTAACTACTAGTCCTTCATTGAGAAGTTAAGCTTTAATGTCCACGCTTATTTAATGGTGAATAACGTCAATGTAGTAAAATAGGACATTATTTCACCCCACCCACTGTTTATTAAGTAGATTCTCAATTATTTGTAGCTCTGTATTTCTATTTTGAATGAAATCGTTTCATCAAGGCTGTAACTGTATGAAAGGTTTATAGTTGTATTGCGTGTTCCAATACAAATTGTCTGTATTTTTAGGAACCTGTTTCATTGTGGGATAGACAAAGTACTGTTATTCCTGCTGAATGCCAATCAAAAGGTAAGTTATAGTGAGTTTTTTATCATACACAAATGAGAGAAGAGGTCATTTCTCTTCTGTACTGGATCGCTGTTGATCTGTATGTGTAAATTACGAGTCAATATGGTTAAAATCAGTGAAAAAATGCTATAAATAAGGTTTTTTTCCAATTAATAAAATTGATCATAAGCTTAAAAAGTTGTTGGATAAGATATATTTTGACATATTTTTTTCTGTCATATGGATGTTTTATTTTCTTTTTTGGCAGTATCACAAGATTTGGACATTTCCTAATTGAAATGTTCTTTTTATGAGGCTATCATAAAGTCACATGTGTTTAAATTGAAAGTGATTAAAATTTTCAGGATTTCTGGGGAGTGACTTTGGTTCAACTCATCTCTCTTCTGTACCGAGATTTGGTAAGTTTTTTTCTATCTATTGTAGAACCAAGTTCAGATGGTGGCTGATTTATGTACCATGTACACTTTCATGAACACTTAATGTACTGTAGTTGCCCTGTACAGTTTTCTAATGGTATGATATAAATACTATACTATGAAACTATGATAAAAAAGATCATTTGTTGTGATTTTGGTACTTGCTCTCCATTTTGATGTTGTCGACTTATAAAGGATCTATTTGTCTATGAAATGTGTGCTCTTCATGTCAATACATGATGTAAATGGTGGAATTGAAAGAGTTGGAACTTATTGCTTGGTGTTTAAAAACAATATCTTTGACACAGTGTTTAGATAACTTTTCAGACACATGTGTTAGAAAATGTCTGATGGAAGATTTTGTTGTCACATAAAAAATAAACAAGTCAATCGCATCAAAAGGTTTTGCTTTGTAGGCATTAAATTAAATGTTAAGCCTTCTTAATGACAGTACTTTTGCATGTGACACAGTAAATGATATTAATTCTTTACCATTCATTGGCAAGGGAGAAAATTCTCAGATCCACCATTTTCATGTAGGCATGGAGAGCTTCCTAGGACTTCAGGACAGGGCATTTTTTCTCTTTTTTTTCCTCTCTCTCGAATGATAATCTATAAAAATACACACCATAGATACAAATATTTCTTTTTTTCCCTATTCAAATTGTTGAAAAGTGACTTTTGTTTTTTTGTAAATATGAAGATGACGACCTTCTTATTTAGTTTTAAGATACTGTATTTTTTTTTTGCTGAGTAATCATTTTAGTTTTTTATTTTATTTTCTAGGTCAGTGAGATATTTGTACGTATAGAAGACATGTCGTCGTGTGGGGAGGAGTCATGTGACTCGTCTAACTGTTCACATTGCGAGGCGGCGATGGATCGACCATATCCCTTCGATCCTCCGTCTTTTAGGCGATCATCGTCAAAAAACAACAGTAGTGAGAGTTCGGGAAATACATCACCGGATTTTACAAAAAACGCTGTAAGCTGTACAACGGAATCGAAAACTATGATTCTATCAGATCACAATGAGGTAGAGAGCAGAACCACATCACCGCTTTCTTTGTGCTTTAGAAACTCTTGTCAGATAAATCAGGACTCGGACAGTTTGAGAAAAAACGATAATTGTGAAACGGACCCTTGTTCTCGGTGTTTTGGAAATCAGGAAAAAGACAATGCCAAAGTTGATCCTGCTTTGATCAGTTGTTCGACTCATACACTGGAACAAACTACAAGTGAAAAATTTAAAAGTGCATCTGCCGATAATAAAAGTACAGACTCAGATTCTTCGCTGGACGAATTAGGGTAAATATTATGTCTCGTATTTCTATATTGAATATATTCTGTTATTGAAAAGCTTTGTATTAAGATGTATCAAAACAAATGGAAAGTTCTTAAGTCAAGACTAAATAAGTTACTGCCAGATTTATTCTGTTTACAATTTTATAGTCTTTTGGAGTTTCACGTAAACATTCAGTATTATGTTTAAGATATGTGCATGTACAAATACCAAATGACTTTACTATTTAAATTTGCATTAAAAAGTTTTGCTTTAACTTCACAGCTACTTAACATTACTATTTTAATATTTTACTGCTGATTTTGTACTTTGATTATTTCAAAATTTACAAAGAGATTTACAAATCAAAATCATAACACAATTATGAATATGCTTTTAAAAATTTTTTTTATTCTTTTCTCCCTTTTTGTTTTTGTTTGCTTATACATTGTATAAATGTATAAATTTGTTTTTAAAAGTTTTACCGTGTTGTGGTGTAATATTAATAAAAATCTTGTTTTATTTTAGGTCACAGCTTACAGAGTTCACTTTTAGTTTTATACAGAATGGCTTCTCTAGCTTAGTCAGCGTCTTAAAGGTAAACAAATTTATCTCACTAATTCTCCTAGAATTTACTGTAAAATGCTGTCCATTATTTTCACATTAAGTAAGCAATTATTTTTACAAGAAGTGAGCAATTAATGTTTTGCTTTTGGCAGTCTAAGTAAATTTTGTAGATATTTTATTTTGTCATCGTTATTTGAAGGCCAATATTACAGAAACTTCTTGGGAAAAACAACTTTAAAGTTCTGTTCAGTAATTATGTGCACTTTTTGTACCAGTTTTACAAAGTGGCAAAAGGAACATAAAGTCTGTACATTTATTTTGTGCTTACAGATAAAAATGTTTTTATGTTTATTTATAGTGAAATTTAGTTTGTTTTATATGCATTTCCTTGTTTAAATAAGCCTTATATTATTGTTATTGTGAGAACTGGGTTTTCTTTTCCACCAAATGACAGTTGCTAATTGGTTGTCTGTCCTCTAGGGCTTTCATCAGGATCTTATTTACAGAAATTTTGCAGAGAAATTAACATATATAGAAAAACAATTTTGTTACTGGTATGATTTTAGTTGGTTTAGTTAGGAGAGGCAAACACTCAATGTTTCAGCCCTCTGTTTTACTTCAAGCTACATTTTAAAAATGCCGTAACAACAGAAATAGCTACAAGTCCAACAGAAATGGAGACAAATGTAGATTAATGTTGTCTTTTTTTTTTATTCACAGCAATCTTTAATGAACCAACATGAAGGAGGCTTCACACAAGCCCTAGATGACTCCTATTTTTTGTGGAGCGTTGCTTTCTTTCTCAAGTTTGCCCGTAGGAAAGAAATAGAATTCAAGAAGATCAAGTAAGTTGTCATACCTAATGTATAAATTGTTGTCTTGTCTTGTCTTTGTCTTTATATTGTTTCTGGTGAACGACTCAGGGCCATCATGGCCCTCTTGTATTTATATACTACTGGTTGAGTTCAGATGGTTTTGGTATTGTTTAAGTTAAGTATATATTGAGTATAACCTTGAGTAATATATTTTAGTTGGATGAAATAATGTTTAAAAATGTTGGTATGCAATACCAGGAAAAAGCTACATTTAATACAAGCATTGTTCAATATGTTTAAAAGACTTGCCTAAGTATAAATTTGGAGAAGTTTATTATTAGTACTTTGAACTGATTTCGGGATCGAAATATTGAAGTTTGGGTAGCTGAGTGGGATAAGAATGCACAAAAAATTACATAGACAAGCCTGACTGTACGACAAATGACAAAGATAAGTTATTCTGGCTAATAGAGATCAACTGTTTAAGATAAATAACTATTTATTTTAGCGTTCTTGTGAAGAAATACCTTTGACTTTAGTTTATACATTTATGATTAATTCTTTTCTGAGTCACATTCCTGCGGAATTATCCTGATGAATGTAATTAATGTGTCTGAAAGAGGTTGAGTTAAGATCGCACCTGGTCTGGTTATCCCTTCGCCTGGTCTTATCAGTGAAACAATACAATTAGATCTAAATTATGCTGGAATTTTATTAACCTTAGTCTGAAGCTTAAGGTACAGACAAATTAACCTCGTTTCTTCTGAGAACATTTCTGTAAAACCTAGATTTTATGTTGAATCCGGGACTCGTAAACTATAGTTGCCCACAAGATATTTTTTAATGCTGAAGAAGAAATATAGTCGGTTCTAGAATTGATTGAAGTATTAGTTTAGAGAGATCTTACGTGTGTATGTAATGGTCAAAATTCAGATTTTTTTGTTTGATATAATATGTCAAATGCAGCTTACCAATGAACAAACTGATATGTTGTTGCTATATTAAGATGTTTGAGTAAATTGCTCATAAGTGATGATTTATCGAGTCTTCAAAGACATTGACAATGACCTTTAAATTCTTGTTACGTGTTATTGTTCAGGAAGTTGAAAGCTTGTTTATTTGTTCACCTATTTCATATATATATTAGTAAAATGTACTCATACTTGGTTATTTCACTAGATATTTCCAATAATGCCATGGTGTCAGTTAAAAGAAAACATTTGGTTTTCTGGAGTTTTCGACTTAAACAAACTATTACTGATCGTTAGGGAACATGATCCAAACAGTTGTATGAACATGACTGGTACCCCTGTGGGAAAAAGTTGACCATATCCCTTGGGAGAACCAGACCAATATTGTTTGGTTCGTAATATTTTAGGGATTTTATAACAAATGTCTGTAATTTCAAAGTATTCATAGGTTATAAGAGAGTATAAGTTGATGGTTTAATCAATAATAATAATTTACCAGTTATTGAAACATTTGCTTTTGTTACAACCTATTAGTATTAAGGATTCCGACATCATTGAATATTACATGTTTGTTAGTATTTATAAAGTCTCCGAGACACTGAAATTATTGATTATTTAAGCTTATGTTTTTCCCATAGTTCCATAGTGATAAATAGTATACATCTTCATACTTGTTAAAACATTGTAGACTAATCATGACTGATGCGTTGAGGTTTTCATGAATAATTATCTTTTTTTTTGAAAACCTCAACGCATCAGTCATGATTTCTCCCCTTATCTTCCAAAAAAACATAATTAATTATATACATTGTACTTGTAAATCGGTTACTATGCCAACAGAAGGAAAATTTTGTTTGAAAATGGGTGGAACAGGCAAGTCATTGTGGTTGTTTTCTGTGAAAGTAAAAGATTGGAGAGAAAAATGAAGCACTATTTTTGAAAGTTATGGTGGTTTTATAGTAAACATCTGTCACAGACATCAAAAGACAATGAGTCTTATTTTTGTGATTATGATTTTAAAAAAATCAAATTTTACTGTGTAACATATATTTATCATTACTTTACTTTGTATTTTGTTACTATAATGCAAATTATCAACGATTTGTAGCTTAACCAGTGTACTTGCCATGTGACTTAGACGTCACATGTAAATAACATTGTAACACAAAGGATTGTAGAATATTGACTTTTTGTTTAGCTATTGTTATACAATGATGTCTAGTGACAATAACAGATGTTTGTTACTGTAACTATGTAGTATACAAAGTGTGAAAATATCTGAGCCGCGTCATGACTAAACCAACATAATTGCGTTTGAGACCAGCATGGATCCAGACTAGCCTGCGCATCCGCGCAGTCTGATCATGATCCATGCTGTTCGCTTACAAATCCTATAACAAGTAGAGAAACTGACAGCAAACAGCATTGATCCTGATAAGACTGAGTGGATGCCCAGGCTGGTCTGGATCCATGCTGGTCGCAAACCCATTTTGTTGATTTTGTCATGATGCGGCTCATTTTTTTCTTACAAAAAGAAATGCTAGTATGACTATGTTTATTCAAAACTTAAGCTGTTTTAATTTATTCAAAACTTAAGCTGTTTTAGTTTTAAGCTGTTTTTGTCATGTTTATTGCTACAACAGTCATAGTGATTTGCTAATGCCACCATTGTACAGCTAGACCTGAATTTTTTGTCTACAGTTCAGCAACATTCCATTCCTCATTACATAATATAAATTTTCTCCCTAATTTTTCCAAAAAAACATTTCATTTTAAGGTATAATTCTAATTTAGCAGAGTGATCCTAAACACAGATAATTGAAACCTGTTGATCGGGACCAAAGACTGGAAGTGGTCTTTGATTGTTGCTCTTTGTATTACTGCCACATATGATTTAATATACAAGTCAAATCAATAACCTGCATTAATCAAAATACAGAAATTAAGTTGCCAACAGTAAAAAGCCTAATCACATGGTACTAGAAACAGCACTGATAAATGAATTCTGTAGTATAGTAAACAAAGGTTCATCAAAATGGCAAAAAAGGGGAACTGTTTGTTTTTGAAGCAAAAAAGTCAAAATATGAACTTTTTAAAGTGTCTTTTCAATTTCTTTCTGGAGAGGACTTTGAAATTTAAGTCAACTGTAGATTTTCTGTAATCTTCTGGAGGCCTACTGCTTTTAAGTGTTTCATTAATGATTAAAGAATTGATAAAGTTACGCTAAAATTTCACAATATTTAGTTAATAGTATTGAAATTTCAGATTAACAGAAGAAAAGCATTTTTACGACAATAATAAAATGAGAAAATGATTGTTTACAAGGAAACGTTATATTTTCGATAGGTTATTTAACTCTGTTGGGGAGATATATTCTTACCAATAAAGACTGTTTACACATGGCGTCTGTTATAGTTTAACTAGCCTTTATTGGTTAAGTCACATGCTTATGCAACTCCCCGCAAACTGGCACATGTAGTTATCACACGTGACTTGGTAATACTGGCTTACGGTAGTTACCTAACTATCAAACATGTTGTGATTTTATCATCCATATTGTAATAGAATCAATTAATCTTAATATAAGGAAAAATTTGCAATTTCAAGATAAAGGGAATGATAATTTGTATTAGTTTTTGTTTTTTAAGGTTTATAGGTTTTTGATAGATTAAGATGCAATTATGTTACGGTTCTTCTAAATTTTACCGCTTCAATTTTTTCAAGATTTTAATATTTGTTGTAATTAAATTTTTATCTCGACTGTTGTTAGAAGGATAATGAGGCTGTTCCAGTCTCCGGAGTTTCCACATCAACGTCCAGTAAACACATTGTATACTTTTAAATTTCAGGGTTAAAAATTTGTATGCAACATCAGTCTTAAAACCACACCTTTTAATTGTATTCATGACTATTAATCAAGATCACTGTACAAGGCCCATAACTCTAGACATGAATTCTGACTGAATTTTAGCCCTTTGTGATGTATACAACATTAATCTTATTGACGGTATTCACTGACCTTGTGGCCATAATAATGAAGATCACTGTTTAAAACTTATAGGTTAACATTAATTAGCTTTTGTTGGAGGTTATTTTTCCACGTATTATAGCTCTTTGTTGAAATTTTTGGTGATAAACTATTCTATAATACTGATGCTATTCACTTGAAACTTTATTCATGTTCTCAAAATTATAAATAAAGATCTCTTTCCAAGACTCATAGCTTGGGTTTTAATGAAATATGACCTTTTGGGGTCTAAGTCAATATTAAGACTCATAGACTAACAATGTCATGGATTTTTTCAATCACTTTTCAAAAAAAAAAAAAGTTTGTAATTTTCTTTCTCTTTAAGGATACAATGGGATGGTTTTAGTGTCTATTTTTGGTATAGTTTGTCATAAATAGCATGTTGGTAGTTTCCTTTATTTACTGACAATCCCCTTAGCATTATTTTATCTGAAACATATCTGTCTGTTGGAAAACTGTAATGTCAAAATGGCTGCAAGTCTGTCTTAAATTACTATCCCTGATGTTGATTTACTAGAAATATATCAATTTGTTATCACTGAATTCTTACAGCCTTATTTATGATATAGAAAGATTTCCTCTAAAATTTTGATAATTGAGTTTTAATGTGAATACAGTAAGTAATTTCCATCTTCAGTGGTGTCGAAATGACTGTTTTTGTCAAATTTTGATACTTAAAAAACGATATCATTATGTTCTCTCTCTCATTCAACAAAAAGGAATGATTATAGTGGCTTTAAGTTCACTCGGTTTCTTGTAAAATAATGATGTTAATTTATGTTCAGATTACTTTTAACTGGTGAGAATGATTGTAAACTGTTTCTCCTTTAAGTTATGATGTTTCAGTATGTGACAACAATGTACATATAGATATAAAAACCATAAAATTGTAACCTCTTATGTCAATGTCTATTGTAAGGAAACTATTTTGAGTCAGTGTAAAAAGTTCATTTTAGCGTATGTTGTCTGTTTTGTTGTGTCCGACTTTGTAACAAAATTTCCTTGACTTGACTTGACTGGGAATTTAAAACTATCATTTTGACTATTTTTCTGCTCTTTTTTGCTTTGCCAATCACGAAACATCAAAAAATGGTCCCAGTAATGATGCTTATGCAATTCATTGAAGCCATAGTATCTTAATTATACCTAAGCTACTCAAATGAAGCCAAAGTAAGGTATTTACAGGTACTGATTTAAGTCAAAGCTGTCAAGAAGAAAGTAGGTCATTTATTGAAATAATGGCAATGTGCCAACAAAGTAGCAACGTTGCATAATCATGCAGCTATTTATAGGAAAGAGGAAGACTTTAGTGATGCATGGAATTGGGTGCCAAAGCTCCAAATATTAATGAAAGTTTCAAATATGAATGAAATCCAAAGAAATCTAAATCAAACAAAATAAAAGGTATACTTTCATATTTGAACTAATTTTCAATCGTAATTTTTCTTTTCAGAAATGTATTCACAGAAGATGTGTTTGGTTTTCTTGTGTATGAAGCTGTAAGTAACGGAGAAGATGTGCTCAATTCATTCAGGAACAATAAAAACTACGCCCTTAGCATGAGAAGGTTTGTAGCTCATGTTAAATATTAGATTTAAAATTCAGCAATTTTATGATTACAGTTTTGTTCTGTATATGTGGGAAATGTCCATTTAGTGAAATAATGCATGAAAATAGTTTTGTTACATATGTTAGCCGATGGAAGCTGATTTAAAAAGTTGATTAGATGTGGAATTTATATCAGTTAAACAGTGAAGACATGATATATTTATAATTACATGATTATATGTAATTATAATTGTATGTATAACATGGATGTAATGTTACATAGGGTGACATATTGTACATTTAACGCTAAGATAATATAGTAAAAGAATTCTCAACTACGTTTTCAGATTACATTTGAGTGTCAGTGCCTTACGAGAATTGATAAAGACCTTGACCTTTCACAGAGAGAGAGGACTGGAGGCAGACGATCTACAGTACCTAGAAGAACTGCAAAGTACGTTTCTATATTATGTATTCAAAAGTGCACGTGGAAGTCTTTTCTTTCTACTCTCACCAGCCCTCCCCCCCCCCGCCCCCCTCCCTAGCCCTCCACCAGCCCCATTTAAATTTTGTCACTTATGCTGGTTTATGTTATTCCAAAGAAAAATGTTTAAAGGATAAATACATCAAGGGCATTTTCAATAAAATAAGAGACTGTTAAGGTACTTGCCTCAATGTCAACAGCGTCTATATGACTTAAATACAGTTGGAAAAAAGGCGTAAAATGAAACAAAACAAAAAAAAATGTCAAAAGAGGTTATTTCTGCAAATTTAATACTGGTCATTTATAATGTTTGTTTCTGTCTTATATTATAGTTAAAAGCATACATTGCATATAATGCCTTATATGGAAGTATTCTTACTCAGTGATTATTTTTTCACCGTCAAAGAAACAGTCACTGTGGTAACTAAGCCATATCTATGGTTACTAAGTCGTATTGATTTTTTCACCATTACTGTACCTAAATGGCCACCTATTTCTAGATATTTACTCTTTTGTGAGATATTTATGAGTCTCATTTCACAATATATAGATAATTGAAGGTTGTTTTTTGTCATTTAGTGCTTTCTGTTTTAAAACTTTTTTTATGATATAATTGTTTCATGTTAAGAATAAATGAATATTTTAAAGCAGGAATTCTGATTAAGGAAAATGCAGTTTTTATGCTAATTTAAGAATGTTCAGTTTTCATACTAAATTAGGAATGGTCAGTTTTTATGCTCAATTATGAATTTTCAGTTTTTATGCTCAGTTAAATATGTCTTTGTCCTGCTTTGTAATAGAAACTGTCCAGTTGTATATAGTTTATACTACATCATTGCAATAAAAAACAGTGTGTTTTTTTTCTTATATGGTTTTACTGCTAAATTTTGGAATCCAATAATTGAAGGAAATACAAAAAAAGATGTACATATATAAAGGTTTTAATTGAAAACTTTGTTATTATGGTCAATTTTCTTTCATTCCGAGTGTCACAACTTCAGAAATGTATATTCATAGTGTATGACAAGAATTTAATTTAAAAAAAAATATTTGTCTGGAAAATATGTAGGTAACACTGGCTTAAAATCACTGATACCATAGCAACTGTATACAAGTTTTATCATGTCTTCAAGTCGTGCTATATCACGTTCTTGAAATGTGAGGACGATTTTATAAGTAAATCAATAATGCCTGCAGGCTCTCATACTGTAAGGTAAAAAAGTAATCCATGAGAAGGGTTGAATAAATTTGCTTGTTTATATAAGCGTACACGTGTCTGAACTTTGAGGAAATTAGTACTGAAGAGACCTGTTGACGCTGATATACTACATAACTTATATATATGAATATACGAGATACGTATAGGGCTTGTATTTCAAGGTTAATTTCTGGTTATGGTTATGAAATACCTATATTTGGAAAATACGTATATACTTTTCTGCTAAATCTTGTTTCAAGGTCAGATTTTTAAGAAAAGTATATGTGTTCTGCAAGTAAATGATTATAGTGTGAACAAATTGGGCGTTGTAACTGAAACCTGAATGCATCTGGTTCAAGTTCAAGTTTGAGTTTATTTCTGAAAAGACGTCATTTATCTGAGAAATGTTTCATAATCGTGAACTTTTTGAAAACTGAGAGTATTACATAAAATAACGATACAATTTTTCTAAAGTTCATACTAACCTTAATATAGTTTGAAAAGGTGTTTTATAAAGAACAATGAAAAGGCGTTTTATAAAGTACAGGTATTTCTGAATCTTATTTGTGAAAAAGTGAGTTTTTGCTGTGTGTGATAATCTGTAAAAATAACAAGATTTCATCTGTCTAGAAAAAGATCTGAGACTGAAACATAAAAGTCTTGTTTACACTGGTGATTCTAATCACATTGAGTGTCTGACTTTATTGTTCTTTACTATATTTCTGTACATTTTTGTACCATTTCTTAAATCATAAATGATCACTAAAAGTCATGATGTGCTTTGTGAAAAATGAATCCATTTCAAAACCTTTTAAGAAATCCCAGATAAATGTTGAATTTTTCCTTTCACAAACTGTAGTAATTACAAATTTTAAGATCAAAATAATTGACAACTAATTAAATTGATTATTTGCACTCAGTGCATTTTCTTTGATCAACAGCATTTTTTCTATAATGATGTGCGTGCAATTTTTTCTTTTAAGAAAATAATTATTTTCAAATTGGCCATCATTAGCAAATTGGGGCTACGCAATTTTATGGGTAATGGATTATTATCCAATGAACTTTTTTTCCTTTTAAGTAAAGTGCTTATGATTAAAGTAAAAAAACCTGTGTTGCCTAAGGGGTGAATTACACTTAGTAGTTTTAGTTCTTTTTAACCATAATCTGATGGTGATAAGTGATAAGCCTTTACCTTCGTTATGGAACCAGGCCAGCCTGCACTTTGTTTTTTGGGATGTCATCAGTTTGGGGGGGGGGTGCTGATGGTTGAGATTTGCCCCTGTCCCAGTGTCCCTCAGACACATAGTTCTTAATTAAGACCTAGGATCAATATTAGTGTTCCTGATATACTGCAAGTTATACAGCAATTCCATTGTTTAAAGAAGATAAGATGTGCTGAGCGTGTCAGGTGAATTGACATGTGCAGTTATTACGTGACAGGTAGTTAAGCACGTCATTTATTCAATTCTGGAGAAATTGTATATTGGCAGCATGCCAATTTTATTCATAATTATAGAAATTCTTGTTGTAACGAAATACTAGCAGCCATTTTAATGCTATATTAGAAACATGTGGCATTATTTGGTTTTTGAATTTGATATTTAGAGTTTAATTAAAACTAATACTGATATAAAAGTGTTTTTTTTTAAATTGGTTTCAAAATTATTTGTATAGAGGACAATATATCTCTTTGTATACATTGCCTTATACTTAAAAAATTTATTGGATATCTGCCCCGTACATGAAATTTAGAGGTGGAAATAAGCCCCTAACGGGCAGTGTAAAGATGGACATTTGGTCCAACATCCCTCTGCCCAATAGAAATACTATACAATATTATATATTACTAATACATGTAGAATAGAAACACAATTGAAGTACACATATTTATGTTGTAGTAACACATACAATGTGTATATTTCACTTTTCTTGTGGGTTAAGGTAGATGTGACCCCTACCCAGGAAGTAAAATCATTACAATAACAATGTTACACTGCCTTAAACTGTTATACTGGACTCAAAGTTTTTGTTTCAATACAAAGTTCTTTTTTAAATTTGCAGAAACAAAAAACTAACCTGAAACATGATAGTATCTTTTTATTTACTTTTCACAGAAACACTGGCCAACATGAAAGATTTACGACAATTGTTTTTATGGTTGGTGAGGATTTATGAGCCTGGTTGTCACAGTATACTGTTTCTACGAGACGTTATAGTAACCAACCACTACTTCCTGTTACTGTTGGAGGAATGGATTGGCCGGGGCTTTTGTCTTGATAAGAGAATCGACATGCTGGCTCATGTTAAACAGTAAGTTTCGCAATGTTTCTGTGTGCTGTAAAGTCTTTTAATTTCGTGGTCATAAAATTTTGTGGTTTTCACTTTTGCCACAAAGAATTCAAATTATTTAACCCCATACATGTGGTTTTTTTTGTAAATGATAATGAACTGTCTGCCTATTTAGTTTCATATCCATAATAAATAATGTATTCATTTATAAAAATGAATATTAATTTATTTCTAATGTTTAGCCCTCAATGTTGTCTTTTTATAAGAAATGTAAAGTATGTGAAGGTTAAAGCATATTCATAAATGTAAATTAATGTAATATTATATCTCTTATTACAGGTTTGCGGAAGCAAATGTGATGCAAAAGTACGGGTACTTGTTACAGAACTTTGTACGTAACGATCATCATGTTAACAACTGTATATTTACTATGATGCATCACGTGGCGGGCGACTGTCTCAAACCTGAAGCTCTCCTCCAGGCAGACATACTGAAAACATTCCTACAGATCTGGGACACCGAGTTACCTATAACACAGGTTTGTTATGTTCATGTCTTTTATATATTGATGCAAGAATGGTGTTGATGCATGCTTTCATTGAAAGGGCATTATTTCAAAGGACAAAAATTGATGAATTGTATTTCATTTCATTGAGTATATAGCCAAGTTAAAGTTTCAGATCATTAAATTTTTAATTGTATTTTGAACATGGATGATAATATTAATAGATTAAAACTTTGTTGAAACTTATTTTTTTACTTTTGTTCAAAGGAGATGAATGACCTGATGGAATACGTAATTCATAAATTCCTAGCCACTGCAGAAGAGAATCCCCTGTCATGTGCAATGCAGTTGTTTACAGAATCTTCAAGTGAATTAGAGGATATGAATATTGATGGGTAAGTAATTTGTGACAGTGATTTTTTCACCCTATATAACAAACAGAGGCCTAGCAAAGGCCTCTACCTATATCCAATGGAAATTTTCCTTAAAAAATAATGCAGATTTCCCAAATATCTAAAACTTACACTTCAAAGTGAGATCAGTGACACTCAACTTTGTCAAGTTTAAAGAAATTATACTGAACAGCTTTAATTCTGCCTATATGAAAACTCCTGAAAAAGTCCTTAATTCTTAAATTTGCAATTTCAGCTGTAATTCTTCAGAAAATCAAGTCCTTTGAACCTTTTACTTTATAATGTTGTAACCTTTAAAATAAGAATATAAATTTTCCATTTGAATCAGAGAAAGTAAGCAGTTTATTAATAGGGGTGATAAAGTAGGATATTTTCAGCTTTATTTCAAAGTAAAATCTTTGATTAACTAGTACACACCTTTAAATAAACATTTATGTATCGGCCATATTGTCCATTTAAGGTGTTTGAATATGATAAGGAAGGTTGTTAATTTATTTCTAAGAAGGTAAAACCACGTTGTCTCAACATGCTCAACAACTTTTTTCCCCCTGGAGTTATATAAAGTATTGGGTTATTTTTAGCTCCAGCTTTACGTTATATATTAGTTTCATGTCATTCTTCATGCTTTCTGTCCGTGTTTACCAATAAATAGAACGTGTTCCAGTTTATTACACACATGCAGACTGGTTTTCCTTATCTAATGGAAAAAAGACTGGTTTTCAGTTGGTTTTTATTATTACAAAATCATATTAATAATAAAAAAGTCTGGTAATTTGAATTCCAAGATAAAATTGATAATAATGATTGTAATATAATAATAAAAAAAAGTCTTGCTATTTGAATTCTAATATTTTGAGGCAAAAATATTGTATCAATTTATATGATTGTATGTTTGCAGGGTTTAGTATGTTTTTTTTTTCAACTGATCATTTGTTTTGCATTCAGTCTTTTATTTACCCTTAATATGGGGAATATCTTATATACACTTGTGCACCCTTCATCTCATGTCTTTCTTGACTAGTAAAGCTGGAAAGTTGCCATATGACCTTTACTGTGTGCATACAATGTAAAACTCAACGGGCAGAAAGAAATATTCTAAAAAAATCCAAAAAAACACTTGAAAAACTAGTCACACATTATATATTTATGTATGTTTTTTGTTACTATTTATAGAAGTGAGTCCGAGGACTCCTCAGACGAGGATGAGTGGACAGAGGAGGAAGTGGACAAAGTGTTCATGTGGTATGCAGAATTAGAAGGCTGCTCTGATGTGGTCGACAAAATCACAATAATGTTCAGTGAAGTTGGCATCAAGAAATCCAAGTTAGAGGTAGGTTTTATGTCTTTTGTATTTAAATTGACCTGTTTATTTAGATATGTACATTTATAAGTGATGATGGCTAGGGCTATGTCATCGGAAGAAGAGTCAGTCCAGTCTTCACACCCATGTAGTCCAAAACTGGGGTCCATACTTATGGCATCTTAATTGATAGCTAAGTCCCTTATATTGATAATGAACACCTAACAATTCAGAAGCAAGACAAGTCCATTAAGATAGATTTATTTTGGTTAGATTTAATTTATTCATTTGATTATTTTAGGTTGTAAATCACATGGTGAAGATGGGTTGGTTGAGTTCAGAACAGATGGAGACGTTTATAGACACTGATAAACAAGAATATGATGTAAGTTCAACTGGTGCTGCTTGTGTAATAAATATGTTGAGTAAAATTGTTTTTTTGATAATTGCCTTGTGCCTTTGCTTTGTGAGTTTAACCTTTCATACCATTACATATATAAAAATCTCCTTCATACATGGCCAAGGATGAGCTAACATTGTTTACAAAGAAATAAGTTGAAAGCAATAGAAATGTTAAAATGTTTATAACTGGCACAAAACTTATATAAAAGTATACATATTTTTATATACATATTTGTACATGACCAAACTATAGAAGCTGCTTATGTTAATGTTTCAACATGTATTTTAAAGTCTCAAGAGTGGCGGCATGGCCGTTTGGTTAACACATCAGACAAGTAATCCAAGGATTGCTGACCGCGTGGGTAACCTCTTCAGGGGCCAGGCGTTGATTGCTTGAGCAGAAACTTAACATTCATTGCTTAGTACTGGTTGGTTCCAGGATAGGATTTGAGTTTCAAAATGCTTGTAGCTTCTTACACAATTGATCTAAAATAACTTTGTATAAACTAATGATCTTTTTACTTTCAGCTGGAAACCCCCAAACTAAATATTGAAGACAAAAAACAGAAGAAAATGATCTCAATTCTTGAAGAGCTCTCCAGAATGGAGGAAGAAAAGATAGTACCTTATTGTTTAACGAAACTGAGAGAGGAAGGATTAGATGTCCAGATTGATTATATCCAAGCTAGTTTCTTGGAAGCTGCTTATGTTAAGATAGGTGAGTCTTAGTTTTTGTGAGAATCCTTTAATTACTGACATTTTGCTGGTTAACAGGATTTTAATTAGAAAAGAAATTTCAGATTTTCGTGTATTTTTTTTTCTTTTTTTGTCTGTCATTTACTGCAATTTATATTCAGTTTTTGTTCTCTAATTTTACATTTTTCTTGTATTTAATTTCACATGATTTTCACATTTGTTTTGGTATGAAATTTTACACAATTGCATAATATTCAGTTATTTTTGAATAGGTTATATTTAAAAATTGGATGAAAATAACATGCTAGAAATTATGGTTTTTTTTGTTATAAAAAAGAAAGAATCATTAAACTAATTAATCATAATAAGAATATTTCTCTTAGAATTGGCTGAAAATCTTTTTGTAAAGTAAAAGATTTATAACTTTCTCAGTGAAAGACTTGATATGGTTTTGCCTGGGGCAATGGTAAGGAGCAAGTCCAGACTTGCTATCCAAGAAGTAAGATCCATCTCCATACTTTAAGCAATTTAATGTATGAAGAAAACCTAATGGCTGAGGGGTTGCCTTTAAGGGTAGAGTCATAAGATTAACAGCCACCATTTATCCCTGCATAATTGTAAGAGGCAACTAAATGGGTTCAAATTACCAGAGTCTTTACATCTCTTAGCTCTAGGTGAGATGGTTTTGACCCCTGGTGTTGCTTAAAGTTTGTAACACCCAAGGTTAGCCAAAATCAACTTTCCTGTTTTGGCGCCATATGAGCTAAATTATGTTTGTTCGCCATAAAACCAAACTAAAGAAAACAAATGAACAAAATGTTAGATAAATAAAACCTCCCTTTTTAACACTGAACTGTCTGAAAGAAATAACAGGACCTGTCCTTTTTAAAGATTATGAGACCAACATCTTATGCTTATTTTCTTTTATTAAACATTTTTTCAGATAACGAATATATGGAGAAAAAACATGTAGAGGAGCCACTGTTTAAATATTACCTTGGCAAGGGTAAAGATTTACCGATCGTGTTCTACAACGAGGATCAGGAGAAGATCAGGAGTAATGTTTACATGTTGGCACTACTACAGCAAATGGGACTTCATTTAGAGGAGGAGACAGGACTTCTTTATCCCAGAATACCTAGCAATATGACCGTACAGGAACTGGTCGAACTTGCAAAAATGCTAGGCAAAATTGATGAAGGTGAGGGTTTTATAGAATTTGGGCAATTTTTTTTTTATATTAATTACTGATTTGGCTACACATGAATTCAAATGTTAAGAAAATCACATTGCATTCATAGTCTGATAAAAGTTTCTTGCATATCTGACTGATGTTTCTTTCCATAAGTTTAACCCATGCTAGAAATTTCATCTTGCATGGGGGTGTCACGATATGGTTGTTTTACAACAAATGTAAAAGCTCTTGTCTATTTGTAAGCTTATCAAAATGTATTTCCATGTTTGTTTTTTTGGCCAGTCTAATGCATATCTATTTTTAAACTAACTTTAATTGAGATATTTTTGTTTGCATTACAGAGTATGTTAAATTTGACATTACAAAAGCCGCAGACTACATAAGTGCTACAACAAAAGACACATTCTCAGAGCCACGAGCATTTGGCGATAACAACATGGACAGTGGTGCTGTCAGGTAACTATTTGTTTTTTTAAATCTTCTTAGGCTAATGTAAGAGGCTTTCATAAGTCTGATGACAGGTGACAGATTTTCAAAGAGATTCATGCTTGCCCGTCTTGGGTTTGGGTGCTAGTGGGTTTTTCAGTCTTCATGGATTTTGGTTCTGACATAAACATCAAAGTGTAGCCTGTGACAGGAGTTACGTTTCTAGATTATGTAATATTTATGACTTTTGTGCGTACATAGCTTTGAATATTATGTGAGATGTCTTCTTCAGTGACTTAAACTTGAATTTCAACCTTGACCCTAATCATCTTATCATAAAGAAAAAGAATGGCAAAACAGATATTATCTAGAACAAAATGACATTAAATTGTCTTTCTTATAATACATTACTTTATTTTCTTTCCTTACAAAATGTTTCATTTTGGAAGTTCAAACTTAAAAATAAATTAAAAGTGTAACTTAGTATTTATTCTCTTATTTCAGAAGGAAATCATCAACGAAGGTACCGAGTGTTGCATGGATGAGTCTAGTCTCAAACTTTAACAGGACGGAACAAACATATTACACTAGTACAGTAGGACTCGACATGGATACAGATTAAAACAATAGAAAATTGATGTAATTTACACAAATAATAGTTGTAATGAATGTTACGTTAAAACTTGAAGTAATAATTCTATCTCGTATAAAGTTGGTGAATTGTGTTGGCGCAAAGATGTTAAAAGACTTAGCAAGGACATTGGCACCATTTATGATAGCAAAAGTGCAGAGGTCATGCATCAGACTAGAGGAACAAGCATTATAGTTGAAATCTTGGTGAAGATTGCATTATATGAATTGATGCAAATGAAAAACATCTATGATTATTTATCTCTTTAAATGATACTTATTTGCATAGAATTTGGACAGGCTCGAAAAAAGACGGTTAGTGTTTGGAGTTAAAAACATAGGTGGTTATTAAAGCTGCTTTTTTGTTAACTTTGTACTTAATTTTCTACAATACATTGCATTTTTAGCTCACCTGCGCACATCAGCACTCTGGTTTAATTTATATACTAGCCTTTGTTTAAAAATGCACCATGTGCGTAATATACATGTATATAGAAAACAATGCTATTGACAAAGAAGCAAAACTTCTTTTGGCACAGAAAGCTGCACGAGTAAGAAAATAGCGAGCAGAAAAGTATTTGACTTTTTCTAGATAACTAATAAATTGAAAACTTATATACTCCGATATGCTGGTATGTCACAAAGTTTTCCAAATAAAATAAACACATATTAAGAGGAAAAAGGGCAATAGGGTTAGGAAAAGGGGAATCGTTTGTGGTAAATTGGGTTATAATGTGTAAAGAAGGGTCCATTTTGATGGGTAAAGTTGTACATGGTTAAGTGAAGTTATTTTTCATGAATATATTGGTTTATTTTGTACATGTATATATTTTTACAAGAATATTTATTGTCATGAATGTTTACATCAAATTGTAAATATATATCAAATGATGTACGAAAATGTTTGTACTGTGTCTTTTATTGACACACTTGTCGTATCCCAGCCACAATTGATATTATTATTATGTCAGTCAAATATTTTTGTTATGATGTTTGACATAACGTTAGATACTTTTAATGTATGTGACTTGTATTTTAAATGTCACACTATGAATGAGGCCAACATTACTATTGATGTCTATAGACTAAAAATGCAGGACCATGCCAGGAGCCAATAATTTATTTAGTTCCGGTAAATTCGGTACCAATAAACTTAATCTAGCAAAAGTCAGTATTGAGTGTAAGACTGCTTCTTGTGAGACTGGTTCTTTTGTGAAATCAATATAAAATGGTATACAGTCAAATAAATGAGTCAATATTGATTGACTGGTTCTTGTAAAATCAATATGAAATGGTATACAGTCAATATTGATTGACTGGTTTGGGCAAAATCAGTCAAACTCCTCACAGTGATTACCTCCCTTGGCAGAATTGTAATCACTGCTTTTGCAGAAATCACATGATGATGAAAGTCACACGACGAAATGTCGAAATTCAAATGTAAATATCGACTGTTACATAGAAAATTAAATGTAATTCTTTTCTCTTTCTGTTTTTTCGTACTTATATCTGTTGTAGTTTATAAAAATAATGAAAAATAAACCCAAAAGCTAAAAAAATGTAAAACTACAAAATACAATGTATTGATAAAAATGTGTATGGTGGCAGAGATATCTGTACTGATAAGGGGAGCTCACTGTGTAGGAGATTGAAAATCAGTAGTAATTGTTAGACTGGTTTAGATAAAAAAAACTGGTTCAGATAGAATCAGTATTTACTTTAAGATTGGTTTAAGTAAAGTCAATTTCAATTGTTAAGACTTTGTCTGCTAAAATCAATTGTGATTGCTTAAATCATTACAGACTTTGATTGTTTAAAAATTTAGATTTTTACAGACAACTATAGGTGATATATTCTATATTTCGGAAATGTTTATTATTGTACAGTACTTTAATACACTTGTACATTAAACAATATTTTTTTTAAATAAAAATATTTTATGTATTTATTTTTGATTAATTTCATACAGGTTCATATAATTTCATACATTTTTAAAATTTGATACCTGAATTTGGATATTGTAAAGATTTTAAATCTTAAAACATGCTGCTTTCTTTGGTTTACAAAGATTTTTATATGTTTAATAACAACAGTATTTTATACATTGTTAAAACTTTTACCTAATAAGTTTTGCTTATTACACATTTTGTATGAATTATTATTTATATCATATTTTTGATGTTTTCTTTTTTGCACTTAAAAGAAAGTTTTTTTAGACAAAAAACAAACTTGCTTACAGTTCATTTGATTAATTTTTTTTATTGAAAATGAAAGTAATTGTTCTAGTCACTGAGCACATGTAAATATTTTTGCACTTAGCAACAAAAACTTTCATTTCTTTAAACATGATCAAATCATCACTGAACAGGTTTAGATTTGGCAGGTAGGGGATACAGTTTTGTTAATAGGACTTTTAATTAGCAAAGTCATTTTCAGGAGAGCTGGAAATCTTGTTTAGTTTTATGCTTTACTTATACCATCAGTGATACAAATAAATTGATTATGTCACCAGAATAACGGCACGTAGTTGGGCCAGTCTCAAAACTGTAGACAACTAAATTAAGAATTTTATATTGAAATCCATGAAGTGTTAACCTTCTGGAACCCCAAGGTGATTATCTGATCAGCCTTTGCCACCATTATAGAACCAGCTGAGCCTTTTGGTAGCTCAGAGTTTTGTATTTTGATATTCAAGCTCTTTAAACTTTGAATAGACTGTTTGAAATTCAAAACTGGGCAAAGCCATTTCACTAATTCAAGAGTTTCAGGGTTCAAGCTATACAAAGCCATACCAAATTAAATGCACGATAAATCCATAAAATATATTCTTGGTTAAGAATTAAAAAAAAAACACTTTTGTGCTTCTTATCACAGATTTAGTCAGTCTCACAGATATTTATAGATTACACATTTCATATTGTATATATATCCGAGCACATCATCATTTTTCCCATTACAGACCCTCATTTAAAAACATGTTCATAAAATGTAATTAACAGTTTTATCAATTTGTACATCATTTTCATGCAATTCTCAATTAAGATGGAGAATATTCTTTTTTTATTTTAATGTTTTGTTGAACCAGTGACTTTATGTTGTAAAATTTCTCTATATTTTGTCATCTTTCATTGTGATGTCATAGGTGATGATTTGTATTGTTTTCTGTTTAATTGACAATAATTTGTTCATGTATGCTGAGATATTTGTTTTTTAGCCCGAATTTTTCGAAAGAAATATTAGAATTATTGCAACAGTTATGTCGTCCATTGCTGTCAGAAAACTTTCAACAATGGCCATCATTTTTGTATTTCTTAACGGATTGTCTTCATACTTGGACCCAACAACCCTTTGGACAACACCTTCATTTAAATAGCCCAGATTAAACTTGGGCTTGAATTTTAATGACAATAATTTTCAAGGGGTATTGACTTTAGAAATAAGAAAAAGTCGAGCGTGGCCCCTGCTACACGGTGGCTCTTGTTGTCATTCCTTTTGTGAAGGGTACACATTACATTTCACTTATTGCAACTGACTCTTTATCTAAAATATGATTGGACACATTGAAATTTAAAATTGACCAATCGCTGAGTTGCATGAATGTAAACTCGCTTGGTTGTTATCAAATGAAAACAAAGAAAATTGTGCAGTGCCATTTTTATTGTATTTTGTTTATGGTAATTTGTGTTAGCTTTTAAGTTCAAATTTTACTGTCAGCGGATAAAAAACATTTAATTTGTCAATTCAAATATTTCAACAGTCAAATACGATGTAATGTGTGACGATATAATGTGTGACGTCACACTATTGCGTCCTGCAATGTTTAAAGGTACCAACAGCAAATGATTGGATTGAAATCATATATCTCTGAGTTGATTGTCACAAGGTTTATTAATGTAATGATCTTATGGTAATCAGGTTCACATGGTATTTCCCAGAGCACTTTTTCGTATTAAATGGCTCCTATTTGAACTGTGAACTGACGTGTTTTTTTTTCATTATTATTTTAAATACTTTTGCTTTTCCGTTTATATTATTTGTGTATAGAATGCTCATTTGTTAGGTTTTGTCACTGTAGATTGTTGTCAATAAAATATTAAAATAAATGTGAAATACAGTCTTGCTATTTTGTTGTTGTTTTTTGTTTGATTTTTTTCTTCAATTTTCAAGGTAATAAAATAACTGACTGAAAAAAATATATTAGAGACCGGGTATACATGTTTGTAGAAAAAAATATATTAGAGACCGGGTATACATGTTTGTAGAAAAAAATATATTAGAGACCGGGTATACATGTTTGTAGAAAAAAATATATTAGAGACCGGGTATACATGTTTGTAGAAAAGGCTCTTACTTTTAGGGCATTCATGAATATACTGTTTTTACATAAATTAAGACTGGTCTGTTACGTGGTACCTGTTTATAATATAATACAGCACGTTTTTACGTCGCTTTTCATTGGATAATCGTGACGTTTTATATAGTTTTTTAAACACAGCTGCTGTCAATTTACGAAGAAATCTCACTTATTTCCTTGAAAAGAGAGTTTGCTGTACATGTTTTATAAATTCGTTACGGTCATATGGGGTCATATGGTCGAATATACAACTCTCGTCTGGTGGTTCGGATTATATATGCACGCAACCGTTTGTATAGGGCCATATTACCTGTCAATAAATCTGTATATAACCAATAGTATATATTAACACCATCAAGTTTATCAAAAACTCTGGTGCAATATATTGACAGTTAACACATTGACTGGCCTTTATACAGCATCAGTAATATGAATACAAAAACCTCCGCTTGTGTCGATATCGCGTATGTGGAAATATCGCTTATAAGTCGATATGCCTGTCTTGGAATTTGACAGCATTTGTAATCGTATATAAGTTATTTAGCGTTTATCCATTTCGAATTTATCAATATTTCGGATGTATCGCTGCAAATTTTCAACCCCAACGTATGGTTTTAGAGCTTAATCGTCTTTTTTTTGTGGGGGGTTTGGCTTAACGCAAACCAACACGGTATAGGTCATAAGGTGACTTCCAAGCCCTACCGGTGGAGGAAGACCTCAGGTCACCGAGTAGAACCACAGACGATCCGTAAGCTAGTATTAAAGGGTCTGACGACAGGTGTCATTGAATATTATATATAATTATAAGCGCCGCCTTGTACAGAAATAAAATCACTTTTTACTTACCATGCGTTCTTCGATGCTGATGGTTGTGTTTATAAGCTCATTGCGTTTTCCTTCTTCTAAAGTAAAGCTATGTTATAAAGATCGTATGTAAAGATGATATTCATTTGTTTGGGTTTATATGAGGAAAGCAATATGCAAATTATTCCGGTGAATGGTTCGTGAAACTAAGAATATATGTTTAAAACAAAGAAGTTCATGGTGAACCATTGTGCAGTGCACGTTTGCATCTTTTCAAATGTGTTTTTTTTCATAAAAGAGACATAGTTTTGCAGATCATGAAGTATTTATCAGAATAAGCAATTTATAAATATAACAAAATCACTGTATGCCGATTTCCGGTGTTGCACATGCCATGGTTATAACAATGGCAACTCTTCGTCGAGGCGCTCGACTGGGGTTTTCTTTTTGGTAGAAGGAAATTCATTTAACAGGTAAGCATGCCCTCTTTCAAAACACATGACTTTTGGAGATTCTGATATGCTTACCAGTTTTCAAACTTTTAAAGGAACTCCACTTAAGTTAAAGGCTTAAAATTTGAAAATCTTAGAAATATCAAGTGAATCATTTTAAAATGGAATGATCTGCTAAGGATAACAAAGAAAATTTACTGAGAATGAATTGAAAATCGATCTTTTGAGCCATTCTTAGGCGGATTTGAGTGAAAAGCCTTGTTACACAAACGCTTTTGATTTGCCGGTCATTTTGTGCACGATTCAAATGCAATTCTGGAAAAACGGTGACAAGGAATAAAATGAATATCTTCATAAACGTTATTGGTACACAAAGCTCTCAAAATATTTTTAGTTCAGTCATGTAAAAACATCAGTGGAGTCCATTAATGTAACGACAATGAGCTATAAGATGTGTGTGTATTTTGTGTCTTGCCGTCTCTTTTCATACGGCCTTATAACGACAGCCGTATGAAACGACAGTTGAAAAGAACAGTCACAAAAAGCTCGTATATATATAGGCCTACATTCGCTTAATTCTGGCGCCTTCCAAACTTTTGTTTACTAATAAAAATATATTTTGCTGAGAAAGAACAATTCGGAACACCTCAGTATGACGGATGTGACTGGCGTCAGGTCTACTAGGAGACGTTCATATTTTCACCTAACCTCTTTGATATTGCTGAACACTCCAAGGACTGGTGAAGGTTGTAACGAATTGGAATGTCGCAATAGTTTCCACGAGTTTGCGCCACGTGACCAGATTACAGACAAAGGAAAGACTTCGACATCGTGATTCCGTGCAATTCGTATATTAAACACTTAAATATCAACAAGTCTTATTTACATTTAAACTAGTGAGATGCCGTGAAGAAGTTCAAAACAATATCTGATGTTTAAAAACAATTATACTGTTTGTCATATATATCATTAAACGTCAGACTGCAATTAGTTTAAGTGCCTAGCGCTGTGTTTATAATCCATTTAAAACTGGTTCAATCGGCATTTACAGAGAGTCACGTGTAGGATACTCAAGGAAAAATATTGTTCTCAAACAGTCATAAACAATACTATAAAAAATTTATTAAAGTGCACGTAATTCGAGGATTTCTTCAAGGTTTATGATTAAATGCACGGTAGTCACGAGTAAAAACAAAGCATGCCGTGATCATTGACCTAGCAGGAGGACACGTGTTGTCGAATAAAGTTTTAATATTTTGAATTTTTCATTTTATTGCGAGTATAAAGCAATGAAAAGCAATCAACACTATAGGATTTTAATTAAACGTTTCTAATATGAAACAGTTTTTATTTCGTTTATTACACTATCCTTGTCTCAACATTATATCAGAGAATGACATGCGGTGGTTTTTACATCAGTTTCAAAATTTGTCGTGCCGTGAATTAAATGCTTGTAGAGCAACTTATTGAGTTTGTCGAAAATACAATTTAAAAAAAAGAAGAAATGAGCCGCGTCACGACAAAACCAACATAATGGGGTTGCGACCAGCATGTATCCAGACCAGCGGCAAAATTATTCCACTTTGAAACAAGCCCAAACAAATTTGCGGTTTCACAAGTTTGGTTGTTCTGGGAATAGAATTGGCTTTTAACTATTAAATGTTCCAAGGTTCGAACTACAAGCAAGCGTTCATTTCATAAAAGTCGCAAACAAAGCGAAATAATGGGCATCGCATTTTTAATAATCTACTATAGAATGACTTAATTACTGTTACGTGTATAAGTGCCTATGCAAATACTAGTATATTTTTCAAAGACAATGCTTCTGTTATGTAACAGGACATTCTGAAGGACAGCTAAATCCCCTTCTGGAGCGGTCATTGTACTTATTGACCTTTAACCAACTATGACCTTGATGTTATGCCATGCATATCATAATCACATTTGCTTTCCAAATCAGATTCAGTCATTTAGCAATTATCTTCCATATTAAGAAGGTAGAAACCGTTGTAGATCTTCTAATTTTGTTTGAATTTTTAGGTCAAGGTCTTGGTAACCATGGGTAATTCTAGACTACATATATTGACACGTTCCTTACATATTTGACTGTATCATGCTTTAGGCAAAATCGCTGTTTCGTGGGCATTAGTGATATGTCCTGTTTTTACTTATAATACCTGATTGTGACTCTACTGAATTAATGATCGTTTTCGTGTTTTACAAATCATTCAGGTGAGAATCACAAGACTGTTGGCTATGTTTTACCTTGACCTTTGGGGAAGCGACCTGGTTGTTGCCTTCTGAAGGTGATGATGGTGATCAATTATGCCAATTTAATTTTTAAAAAGTAAGTAGTTAAAAGTTATGAAGAGGACACATATTGTTAACTAATAACATTTGACCTCTAGGTGTGGCCTCGACCTTGGAGGTAGCGACCTGAATATTGCCCTCTACACATCATTTCATTATGGTGACTATTTGTGCAAAGTCATTCAAAAAATAATTCAGTAGACTGAAACTGGAAAATGTGGACTTTATAATTTGAACTTTAAGCGTGACCTTGGCCTTGGGGTAAGCAACCTGGTTGTACCTTAGCGGTAGCAACCTAGTTGTTAAACCCTGCAGATTGTGTCGTAGTTGGGATAGCTTGTGCCAAGTAATTAAAAAACCTTTGAATTGTCAACAAATAAGTTATAGAATGGACATAAAAAATAGATGTTTTGAGTGTGACCTTGAAGGTAGTGACTTGATTGTTGTGCTATGCAAATCGGCTCTTAATAGGATAATTTCTGCCAAGTTATTTTTAAAAAAAAAACATTGCAGCGCATTAAATGTTATAGAGCGGACACGAAAAAAGTAAAACTTTTTACCACTAGAATTTTAAGTGTGACCTTGACCTTTGGGGTAGCAACCCAATTATTGTGCTCTGCACGTCGTCTCATAATGGTGATCACTTGCTCCAAGTTATTTTAAAAAATCAGCGGCTTATAGGTTATGGAGCGGACACGAAAGTGTTACGGCAAGACGGACGGACGTCGGCCGAAATGGAATGAGGGGGGGGGGGCAATTCTTTTGTTATTTTCTTTTGTTTAATAGAGAGCCAAAGGCCTCTTCTCTATTGCTAAGGAATTAACTCTTTTATTCTCTTTTGTCCTGTTTACAGTTAGATGACCCCCTATCCCTATTCGGTCGTGCGGTTTAAAAGTTACAGAGCAGACACAAGAAGTGTTACGAATGGACAGACAGACAGGCTGACAGACGGGGGCCATGCCTATAATCCTGGTTCTGCTTTATGGAAGGGGATTAAAAAATCAGGTCACAGACATGCAGAACAAGTGCCCGTTATACTTATACGTTTAATGAAATCGACCATCCCTCCCATCCCTACCCAAATACTGCACACACATTTTTTTAAAGGACAGTAGATTCTTTTCTCTCAACTGTTCTGAGAAAGCATAACTGCTACTTATATCAAATCTGTGTTACTTTAACGCATTTGCTAAAATATCAGATTGTATAGTATTAAACGTAGACGTCTTAAATTTTGACGCCAATATTATTTTCACTTCAGCTACATGCAAATGGTAGTATTTTTATGTAAAATTCTTCATCACCATGCTTCTTAGGATGTTCAGTTCTTAGAAAAAGGACAATTATTGGCATTAAAACAGTCTCAAGACGAAGACTTTATAACAGTTTCACCTGTACTTTATACGAATGTCGCCTGTGAGGAGGGCTCTTGCTAATGTTTTTATTATAACTTGTAGCCTGACCCATTCTCTTTGTGAATATTTGTTGTTTTTTTGTATTATTCATGTAACGTTACATGTATTCAGGGTCTTTTAAATAAAATCTATTTGAAAAACCCTGATTTATTTATGCAAAGATAAGTTGCAAGACAGTATTATTCAACTAAATGAATTCCGCCTCAACTTCGGCGAATAACGCCTTAACTTTTGGCGAATGTCGCTTTTACTTTTGTTATTTTGTCGAATGTTGCTTTTCTTGTGCGCAGTGGCTTTCAATTTGCGCTTCTTGGCGGCGACTTTTTCTTCTTAAACATTTTATAACAATCTCATGACAATTGTTACGATTTTTTTATCAATAAAATTTACTTCGACCATTCATTCACTGCCAATGTCAAAACATGAGAATCATTAAAGTGTCGTTGTTTTTGATGTCAATGTTGTAATAGTGTGAATAAAAACAATATAACTACATTGTGGGCATAATTACGATCAATTTCCTACTATATAAAACTCTCGTGTATCTAATAAAGACGATTCCTACAGATATGATTGATCAGAGCCGATCACCTTTCACAGTGTTGTCATCCCAGGTTTCAATATAATCCTTAAATGTCACGTGTGGCGAGTCACAAGTGTTCCAGATATTGGAACACCTGTACAGAAGGTCCACGCGAAACACGCCTAACTTTTGATACGTGGTCCACGATTTATAGATCTTCGAATTACATGTACCAACAAATCGGATTCCTGGTGTAACTTAGAAAACAATAACTAAGACATAATTCCATTATATGAGTGATTTCTCAAACTGAAGTTTTATAAAAACAGATCTGTTGATGACTCTATTGGCGACACGTGAACAATTATTCTTTTAATAGTCTTTTAAAGAGTTGGAAAAGCGGTACAGATAATGGAAAAGACTTAACATTAACGGTAATGTTTCAGCTCTGGGTTTCCTCAACATTTTTCAGCATTGTCTTATAAATTGCTAAGTTAAAACTTTAATAATGATACATGTATTGTGGTAATGTGGCTTTAGCAAACATCTAAATAAAAATGACACTAAAATTTTTTAAAATAATTTTCCATAGACTACACGCGAGCTTATAAAAAAAGAACATTCAGTTATTCTTGAAATATTAGTGGTCGAGTTATGGTCCTTATCACATATATTGTGTGACGATAAGGAAGTCAGATGGAAGTCTCTCAAGAAATAAAGGAGTTAGAGTAACAAGAGCGCTCAATGACCATGTGTCACCTGATTAACATGGGATGATTGGACAGTTTCTTCCATATATGTCGTGGCTACTTTGTAGCATATTGTAGCTACTGTGTAGCATGAAACACAATTATCATTAATATACCAAAAACGCGGTTTTTTCCACGACAATAAGTCAGTAACAAATCATTCAACCGGAAAACTCGTGTAATTAAGCATAAGTACTTGTGGAACTGCTGATCAATCCTCTTTCAATTGCATAAATCATTATTTACATTATATTTAATTATAAATGATTAAAGGGTCTTAACAATGACAAAATCTTTAAACTAGAAAATGCTGGTCAACGATATACACAGCTTAACTTAGTCTGTAAAGTTCGCATAATTGCATCAGTAGTTTTTCAGTAGTTCGGACAATGGAGAAGTGATCTATATATGTTATGGCTCTTATTAACAGCCATACGCCTTTTTCATTCAAGGGGTCATAACTCGGCCAAACAAGTAAACCCGTGTAATATGCGTAAGGATCCAGTCTTTGAAGTTTCATTCAAATTGCTTGAGCGTTAAAGATTAGTCTGGGCAAACTTTAAAAATCAAAATCATTAAAGGGTCACAACTCTTACAAAAATCAATGAACCGGACAATGCTGCTAGACTTAGTACAGATCATTCCTGTAAAGTTTGGATGAACTTTATCACTGTGTATTCACATATGAGGAGGGTGATAATAAGGAATATATATTTGAAATCTGAGGTAAATTATTTAAGAAATAAAGAAGTTATTAAAAAAAATCCAGCCAGAAATCTGGATGCTGAGTCGAGTAGGACAGCTCTCCCTAAAATTACAGCCTATAATCAAAATAATAGTATTACAAAAAAAATATTCATTTTCTTTCATTTATTCACGTAAAAATCATTCTTTTTTCCAGTAATAATTATTCCAATCAATAAAATGTTTATCAATAGCACATATTATGAAAAAAAAACTACTTCATTTATACATGCATACACCGCTAACAATATAAAAATAATCCATCTAAATGGTGTTATATCATAGCAAACTGGACACATCTTCTTTATAGTTTACAAAATTCTTATAGATTAAACATAGTTTTTTAGAGAATTTTACAAAATCTACAGACCTTATTATATTGCTACTGAGTACTGTTTTCCACGTAAGACCATCAGGACAAATAAATTTAGTCACATAACTGTGCAAGTATTAATGTCTAGCTCAAAGCCTATGACATTGGTCTGTCATTTACAGCATGAAAACTGTTTTGTTTTTTTACATTTGAAACAATCAAGTGTACAAACATACAAAACTAAAAATCTCCTAACTTTCTCAGTCTTCAAGAAAATGACAAAATAACAAATTGCACAAATAAATGTCAATTCATACAAACAAGTGTGAAAATGCAGGCATTAAATCAGATAAAATCTAAAACAATTTTATCACTGCTCTTTAACATATAAAATATACCTCAAGAACATTATTCAATATATCAATAAAGCTATTTCAACCAACTAGTAATTTGTTTAGAACAAAAACTATATCAGCATATAATTTTCTGATGAAAATCTCATTGAATACTTCTTAACCAAAATTCAATGCTATAAGGTATACATATTCAATTCACAGTAAGTCTCATATATGTTGAACATATATCCAATGCCTTTACATAAGTATCATTCCAAATTCAAGTTGAGAGTTGACTGATTATACTGGATTAGCAAGAAATTTTTATTTTCATTAAAATTATGAGCCAAAATGTTACATTAGATTTCCTAACATAACATAAAACAGTAACATTGTAAATGAATATTTCTTTTTTATTATATACTTATAAATGAAATATTGAGAAATATTGATGAAATAAAATGCATATTTTCATTTTCCGTATTTTCACTGTAAAAATTTATTTTTCACTGCAGTGAAATTTATTTTCATCTTGTGATATGAAATTACCATATTTCACTCGTGGCTACCGCCACTCATGAAATATTTATTTTCATTCCACTCGATGAAAATAAATCATGTATTTATAAAAAAACTTGAATATCCTCTATCTATATCCTGCCAATCTCAATGCCATAATCCCAACTGGCTATGTAATCTTATGTCCTTACTTGAAATGACATGTTATCTCATGGCTTTGCCTCAATAAACAATATTTTCTTACGGCCTAACCTTAACTTACAAAGTTATTGAATGCTTATACATCAATTCACAATGAAACCTAATACTCTAACCTTATTTACAACATTCTTATACTCTAAACTTATTTACAACATTATCTTATGCTCTGACCTAATTTCACGATGTCATATCCCGAACTTCCCTCAGTTCAGAATGTTACCTTCACATTGCAATCTAATGCCAAGGTCTAACCTTAATTCACAATTTTCTTGCAGACTGAACTTTATTCACAATGTTATCTCATTGGCTATTTTCAATCACAACTTACTGTGATGCTAAAACCTCAATTTACAATGTGATCTGATGCTACTAACCTTAATTCACAATTTTCTTGTTGTCTGTAACTTTATTCCAATGTTATCTCATTGGCTATTTTCAATCACAACTTACTGTGATGCTAAAACCTCAATTTACAATGTGATCTGATGCTACTAACCTTAATTCACAATTTTCTCGCAGTCTGAACTTTATTCACAATGTTATCTCATTGGCTATTTTCAATCACAACTTACTGTGATGCTAAAACCTCAATTTACAATGTGATCTGATGCTACTAACCTTAATTCACAATTTTCTCGCAGTCTGAACTTTATTCACAATGTTATCTCATTGGCTATTTTCAATCACAACTTACTGTGATGCTAAAACCTCAATTTACAATGTGATCTGATGCTACTAACCTTAATTCACAATTTTCTCGCAGTCTGAACTTTATTCACAATGTTATCTCATGGTCTAATAGCAATCACAACTTATTGTGATGCTCCAACCTCAATTCACAATTTCTTCTTCTCTAACCCTAATTCTCAATTCAATCTAACACTCTAAATTCAATTCACAAGGTTATCTTCTGATGTTACCTTTAATATTTACATGGTTTTCTCTTATTCATCTCATTGAATAACCTCACAATTTCATAGCCTGTACAAAAATATGACTATTTAACGGCATGTGCTTATTAACAATCTAAATTCCCAATGTAACATGTGCTAACCACTGATTCTGGTTGAAAATAAACAAGAAAAAAAAATCGTCAACATTTTTTTGCTAATTCATCACTTTTTGTCACCTGACTCTTTCCTTTGCTTTTCCATTTTTAATTTGTTGTAAAATTCTTCTAGCTGTGTAAGCGAGTCTTTTGGTACGAGAGTTGATCCCTTCTCCTCAGTTTTTGACTTTTCTTTATGTTTTTCATCTGAAGAGTCTGAGTCACTTGACCATTTTGATTTAAAGGTGGGCTTGAACAACATTCCTCTTGCTTTTACCTGAGGCTTCTTTGATTTGGGTGACCTAGACCGTGACCTTTTCTTCAACTTGTTTTTATTTGCCTCAATTTCGTCACGATGAAACCAGAAAACTCTTTTCTCATCTGGATCCTTTTTAGCACTTTGAACAACATCTGGCAAACTTTTCCCACTACTCTTTCTTCGATCACTTTCGCTTGTTTTTCTTTCTCTGCTCCTTGACCTATCTTTCCTGTCTTTACTCAACTTTCTGTCCTTGCTTTTACTCCTTGATCGTCTAGAACTTCTTTCCTTGCTTTTACTACGAGACTTGTGCTTCTTGTTGCTACTTTGTTTCCTCTCTTTGCTTCTAGATCTGTCCTTTTTCTTCTTCTTTTCTGATTTACTCTTGCCTCTATCACTTGAACTTGACCCATCTCTCTTACCATGACTATCCTTTTTTGATTTTGAACTTCTCTCACGGGACCTTGATCTTGATTTTTTACCTTCAGTTTCACTGCCACTATCAGTATCCCATTTTGACCGTAAACCCTTCATTTTCATAATTTTCTGAATGTTTACTGAGACCTTACCTTCAGTTTTAGATTCTTTAGAAGGTTTTTCTTTATTTTTTTCATTTGCTTTATTTTTTTCCTCTGTAAATATTTTCTTCTCAACATTAGCAGCTCTTGCCCGTATTATACTGGAAACTTCATCTTCAACTTCGTCTTCGGGTAATGGAGATACACTCAACTCTTTCCACTTCTTTGCCAGGGCAGCTTTTTCTTCGGGTTTCATTCTTCGATGAGGTGGAGGAGACTTTGAGATCAGATGTGCCGCTAACATGTTTGCCATTTTCTCCTGTGCCTGACTCACTTGTGACTCTGGTAACAATTTAGGTCCAGTCTCTGAAGTGCCCCAACGACTTTTCTTTTCTTCTGGACTATCCCATCGACTGCTGACCTTAGGAAGGTCACTGGCAACAATTTTTCTTCCAGGTGAGGAACCCTTTCTGGTCTTCTTTGCACTAGAAGATTTTCCTCTAGACCTAGAACGTGACCTTGAACTTGAAGAACTATATGATCTTTTATGTTGTTTGTAATGATCCTTTTTACTCCTGTACTTGTCTCGTGACCTGGACCTAGATCGTGTTGCACGTGATCGAGACCTGCGTGATCGAGATTTGGATTTCGGAGAATATGAACGGCTTCTTGACCTCCTACTCTTCCTATACTTGTCTGCAGATCTAGATCGAGATCTGGACCTTGACTTATATCTTGATGATTTCCTTTTATTTTCAGGAGTTTTTGGTCTAAATTTAAACCTTGGGTCATTATCTAAATTAGCATTCTTACTGGGCAGATCTCCTACGGTTTTAACATGTATATTTCTCGTTTCCATGTTTACCATTTCTACCTTCTGCTCAATTACTGGAGGTTTACTCTCTGGATTAATACCAATGGGATGTTGCTGCTTCAATTTTACTGCTCTTGGCACGTAAGTGGAAATCATTTGCTTATCTTTACTGGCTCTTGGTGGAGGTAAATCAGCAAAAATATCAGTTGACAGCTTTGACTGATCACCATTTGACCTTTCAGTGCTTCTCCTCTCATAATCTCTAGAGGGATTTCTGTCCAATGTTGCGTCCTTTCCTTGACCATCTATTTTTTTTGGTTTCACTGCAATAACTCTCTCATATGTTTCTTCCCTACTACTTGATCTACTTCTGCGGCTATCGTCATGTTTTTGTCTCGAAAGTGATCTTGACCTACTTCTATGTCTATCATAACGTTTTGGTCTGGACAGTGACCGTGACCTACTTCTTTGGCTATCATAACGTTTTTTTCTGGAAGGTGACCTTGAGCTACTTCTGCGTCTTTTATCTTGTATTTGTCTTGAAGATGGCGACCTTGACCTACTTCTACGGTTATCATCTTTTCTTTGCCCAAGAGGTGACCCTGACTTACTCCTGCGGCTATCATAACGTTTCTGTCTTAATGAAGGTGACCTTGATCTACTTCTTGATCCAGCTATTTTTTTCCTTATAATAATTTCCCTTCTTTCACTGCTTTCGCTCGGTTTCTGTTCATAGTAATCTTCCTTAGACTTGTATTTATACAGTTGCTCTCGACTCTGTCTGCCTTCTGGTGAACGTGATCTTGACCTTGCATCTTTGAAACTTTTCTTCCACTTATTGTCTTTTATAGCAGAACTTTCCTTTCTGTCATATTCCATATAGTTTTCTGGTAATGGTGATCCTCTCCTATCTTGTTTATTCCCCTTTCCAATCATAATACTTCTTCTTTCTTGACTGTCATTAAGTTCATCTGTCCGTCTTGCATCACTATCTCTGGGCGGTGACCTCCTTCTATATTCATTTTGTTCAAAGTTATAGCTCTTTCCAGGTTGATTCTTGTCCTTCTTTGACATAGATATGATTCGCCTTTCTTCGAATTCTTCTTCCTGACCTTGTCTTTTAGGCCATTCTGAGTTATATGACCCTCTATATTGGTCTTCCTGCTGCCTAGGAGATGGCCGCCTTGGAGATATAGTTCTTCTATGAGATGAACCTTGTCTTGGAGGTGAACCATGTCTATATTGGGGAGTATGGTCAGGGGGTGATGTAAATCTACCAGAGTCCCTTCTTTGTGAAGGATCGTGTCTTCTTGGAGACTCATACCTAGGTGAATGATTTCTAGGTGATCTATTTCTTTCTGGTGAATGCCTCCTTTGATCCCTATATATATGATCATCGTTTCGTCTATCCATACTAGAGTCTCTGTACCTATTATCACCTTGCTTGCTATATTTTCTATACTGAAAGTCATCTTGTCTACCATATGCTCTGTATCGATAATCAGCACCATGTTGACCAACATCTTCCGGAGACGAGATGTCTTCTAAGCCCAGTCTATCACTCACTTCATCTTTGGTTGGAGTGACACTATCCCGACCCCCTGTTATAGCTGGATGTCCTTTATTTCCAACCATAACGTCTCTCCCAGTTGATCTACTTTTGTTTGAATCATATTTTAGATAATCATCTCGTCTTCTATCTCTGTGTTCATAACTTTCACTTGTTCCGTACAAAAATTCATCATCTCTTAAGCTCTGGCTTTTCTCTTCGTCATACCTCCTCCTGTTGTCTTTTTCAGTATTTCTGTTATAATCTCCTCTCTCATTTTCTGGAGGTTTGTAGGTGAGCTCCCGGCCCAATGACGGTGATCTTTCATCTCTACTTCGTCTACTTGGCATATTTCCCTCGTACAACCTCATACTTGACCTTTCTTCCACCGCATACCTTGATTCCTTACTATCCTGCTTGGTTTTCTCAGCCGAATGTCTCGATGATGATGCGATATCTACCGGCTGTCTTTCCATTTCTTCCTGCCGTGGAGGACTCTCTCCTAATCCTGGGATTTTCTCATTACTTCTGCTGAAACTGTAAAAGCTTGACTTGGATTCTTGTTTGATATCTCTTGACTGATCTTCCCCGTAAAGAAAATCATCTTCTCTGGAGCGTGAATTTTTTGGCGACTTCTTTCCTCTGCGGTCATCATATTCTTCTTTTGACTTTGTAACAGACTCCTGTGATTTTGACTTTGCATACAGACTCTCATCTTTTTCTTTTTTAGAAGCAGACTTAGGTTCCCTTTTTACTTGTGACCTCTGACCTCGTGACTTATCACCGTGTCGTGACCTTGATGACTCTGATGAACTAGATGAAGAACTGCTAGAAGAACTAGAGGATGATCTACGACGACGTCTCCTAGGTGATGCCGACCTTTTCTTCCCAGGATGCTCCTCTGAAGGATCCTTTTTTCTCGACCTGAATAAATGTTAACAGAATAATACATTACATTCTATAAAACTTGTTAAAATGATCAAACTTTATATTTTAAAATGCCTCCATAATTTTTTGGTTCAAAAATTTAAATAGATACAACAATTCTTATAATATAGGCTGTTTTAACCAAGTCTTAGGTAATTCAAATTCTCACAAAAATATATGAATTGTCTAAACATGCTGAGAAAAAAACCCACACCAAATCAGCCATTATTTCTATGATAAAAAAGAAGAAAACTACAAATGTATAAACAATTATGTACCCACATTCCACTGTTCTAACAGTAGAACAGACTAGAGGAAATCCCAACCCCATCTCACCAGTAGAGGGGATGTAAAATGTTCATAAAATACAGGTCCAGACATATCTTTCATAAACCATGCAAAGCATCATAAAAACTGTGAGTGATGATTTATTTCTAAAATTTTGAATTATATTATATGTAGTCTTAAGTGCCATTTATTTAAAAATTTGTAATCAGCTTTATATGCTGAAATATTAAAGTAATAAAATCAATACCTGGAAACTTTTTTCTCTTCTTTAATAAGTTTTTTCAGTGTTTCAGTGGTATCTTTATATGGTACGGGTGATGGTGTTCGTTCCTTCTTTACCTTCGTACTTCTTCCGGCTTCACGCTCCTGTGACAAAGAACATATAATTCAGGAAGCAATACTTTATTCTTCGGATGCAATAATTATACTTAGGATGCAATTGTTATACTTGGGATGCAAAACTTACACTTAGGATGCAATACTTTAGTTGCCATCAGATTCTATGAATAAAATTCTCTTATGAACAGTATCAGCAAGCCTGACCTCACAGCTTTGAATTACAGTGAAGGAATTGAGATATTGTGGAGTTAAAATTGGATAGCTAAGTATCCTTACTCTATAGAAACATATAATATTGAATGACTGAGAGCAATAAATGTCAAATATTTAAACAATTCATTTTAAGGAAATATGTTTAATATAAAAAAACAACTACTGTAAGAATGACTTCTCTATCTAAAATAATAGTCACATTTCAAAAAAGGACAAACTAGAATGCAAGTATACATATCCTGCTGGGGTATTAACTTTCATACAATGCATGTGTATTCTTTGTGAATGTGAAACTGAAATTTCCCTAAAATTTCAAAGGAATTTCAATACCCAGAGAGTAAAAGTACAGAATAAGGTCAGACAAGAAAAACCCAACTGTTTGGGTAGTAAAATGTAAAGAAGTAAGACAAGTAACATTACCAACCTCTTTGTATTCTATATATCTGAGATATTCCTTGGCTTCATCAGAGTTAGGCATTATTTCCACTGCACGCTGGTAACAAACTTTAGCATCAGAAAATTGTTTGTCATCCTCATGGCTTTAATTGAAAACAAAATAATATCAATTATCAAATATTAATTTGAAAGGCATCAATTTGCTACAATTTGTCTTATCAATTGTATAATTATTAATTTGGCTGGCATCAATTTTATATTAATTTGACTTGGATCAAGAATATATCAGTTTGGCCAGCCTTGCTTGATATCAATTTGCTTTAGTTTGGCATGCATCAATTTATTATCAATTTGACTTAAATCATGTATATTATATCAGGTTGGGTAGCATCAATTTAGCTACAATCAAGAATCAGAGTTTCAATCATATCTGCCATATCAATCTTCCTTTTAAAAATACAGTTTTTCAATACAAGTATCCTCCACAATTAAATGATTTAATCCCATTGAACATTAAGATATTATCTTACAAGGAATTAGTCTAGAAAAACAAACCATTTTCCCTTAGCGAGGAGTGTCTCATGCATGTATTTTATAGCATTTGGATGCTTCGAGTTAATTCGCAGAGCCTCTTCAAAATCTACCAAGGCCCTTGTGTAACTCTCATTGTTGGCATACCTGAAACAAAAACAAGTGTTAGTTTTCTGCTGTAAGTACAAAGTACTTATATCAGAGTTAGAACTTTAAGTCAAAATACTTCCAGCATATATCTATTTAGATGTCAAGTGGGATTTCAAGTTTGGAAGTTTAAAGTATTTGATTGAAAATAAGGAATATAAAGTTAAAAGAACTGGCTATTCAGTATCCAATTAGAAATGAAACAAATGTGAGAGTTTGCATGCGCTAGCCTTTCTCTCTTTGGAATTTTTATAGACCAAGTAGGTTCTTATAACGGACCACATAAAAGACCACATATATTAATAACATATAAGACCAGAAACTTTTTGTTTAATTCGATTCTCATAATTGTTGTCTAACATTATTATTTTTAATATTATTTTGTATATAAGATACATGTACAATGAAAGCTGATACAAATAGAATTACATATCTTTAGAAAAACAAACAGGCATTGATGTAGAAAGAAACTAGAAATGTGCTCATATGATAAGACACAAATGTCGCCCCCTGCCCCCAACCTCCCTCCAGATTCCACTGTTTTTTGTTAGACTGCAGATTGACAAAGTAACAGCAGGATGGATAGACAAGGCTTCTCATAAAAAGAACAAGCATTCTAACTTATAATGACAACGAAAGATAAAATTGAGTGATGCCTTTTCATACAAATAATCAAGAACACTAAAATATGTACTTACAATGCTCCCCTGGCAACTAAAGCTTCTACATTCGTTGTATCTATCTGTAATGCCTTGTTGAAAGACTGCATGGCCTCAGTCTGTCTATTTGCCTTAAAGTCGTGAATTCCTTGTGCAACACTGTAACAAAATATATATAACATAATCATATGTCTGTTTTTCATACCAATATTACAATACATATATAAATGTATGTTCTGTCTGGACAGCAGGAAATAATGAATAAAAAAAAAGAAAAAAAAAGAAATAAATTTTTCAATACAAATTAATATAATTGAATTCCAACAATTATAACCATTCTTATTTGAGCTGTGTCACGACAAAACCAACATAATACGATTGCGACCAGCATGGATCCAGACCAGCCTGCACATCCGCGCAGTCTGATCAGGATCCATGCTGTTCGCTATCAGTTTCTTTACTTCTTATAGGGTCTGTAAGTGAACAGCATGGATCCTGATCAGACTGCGCGGATGCGAAGGCTGGTCTGGATCCATATTGGTCGCAAACCCATTATGTTGGTTTTGTCGTGACGCGGCTCATTTTATGAAATTGCAGTCACATTCTGGCTGACCCATTTTTGAATTCTAAATACAATGGGAAGTAATGTTTTGTCCATGTCAGGTCTTGTAAAAGCATCATTACAATAAATCAACAAGTTCATTATAATTTAACAGATATATAACTTACCATTGGTAAGCCCATTTTTGTGACTGTGATTTTCTCAAACTTTCAGCATAATCTTTCTCTGAAATCTTCAACCTAAAATGACAGGAGAAAGAAAACTATCAGTAAAAATAACAGATGTTTTTTTTTTACAGAAAAGCAAGTCTGTGTGATTTTTTTTTTACATCCGACATTTCATACAAATTTTTATTTCAGTTTTAAATCCAAACTTTTGATAAAATTAACCTTTCTAATAACATGACATATTCTAATTAAAAGGAAAAAATTAAGATTATCTTTTATAAAAAGTTTAAGAACTTTTGGCACCCAGCTTATTGATGGTGCAACAGACCAAGAAATTCTCTCATTTTTTTTTCTTCTTTGTTTGGCTCTGATTAATTATTAAATGAATACAAATTTTCAGACTTTCCCCCCACAATCTGTCCAATTACACTTATTTTTCATGTCAAGCTATTTAACTCAGTTCATTTCATAATTTTCACAAAGATAAAGGAAAACTAAAACATCTCATTACCTTGAAAACAAGCTATAAAAATCTAACTGATTTCCATTATTTATTTTCACCTCCTAAACTTGCTCACCAAACTGAAACCATATCAAAACTTCTTTCATCCCTTTTTTTCTGACGAGCCCATCTTTTCTCATATACATTCATTATGGAATTCCTTGGAATTTTAACTTTTTTTATTCTTTTCTGACTTTATTCTCACATGACGAGACACTATATATTACCGGTACAGGCCCCTCATCATGGACACTTCTTCTTTCTGACCCAACGTCTCCAACAAGAATCGGACGTTTCCTGGGTTAGTGAAGCCAATGATGGAATTGACTAACTCATCAAACGTCAACCCTCTGATGTGCAACTTCCTCCTACAACAAAAATCAATCAGTTTAGATTTGCTAATAACTTACACTATTGAATTTCTATATTTATAAATATAATACAAATGCAGGCGGGGGTGGGGGAATCAATCAAAGTGTTAACCATATGTCATAGCTTGCATTGAACATGTTTTACCCTAGGTATCCTGTTTAAAACAACTCTTTTTTCCACTTTCTTGCGATTTTGATGCACAGACATGGTGGCTACTTCCATGGGAGAGGTTTGACATTAATGGTAGATAGATAAAAATTGATCAATCTAACTACCATTAATGTCAAAGAAATATCTAATCAACCACCAGTGTTGACCACAATTAAGTAATTTCATTAAGCAATTTTCTGATTCAAGAAGATTAACAGTCAACCTCCTTTGTCTTCTTTTAGAGTAAGTAAATTATAGTCAGCAACCTTGATTTTTTGCCACAGATGCCTCAAAGACATAGTTTTTATGACTAGTCCAAATTCTTTACAAATTTCGTTCAGAAAATGCATTAAGCATATATTTGAATGTAAAAGCCACATTGAAGTTCCATTATCAATTATTAAAATCATTATAACTTTATATCTATAGCTTTATTTAGATCAGAATAATTTGTCTATCAACATTATTACCTGTATTGTACTGGAAAGTCTTCTTCCTGTATCAGTCCCTACAAGAAAAAAACATTTCTTCTTTTTCATTTTTGCCTTCTAGGAAATAGTAACTTATCAGTTTTCTTAACTTAACTACAATCTTTTTGTCAATAACTGTTGTAGTATTTTCTTCTGAGTCCCAAAAGCATTCCAAAGTTGCATGAATACCCCAAAATTGCATAAATACCGGAGATGTGGGATAATTTTATGCTGAATGGCTGATCTGATAATTATCACTTATTAACAAACAAAATACAGACTCCTTTGCCTTAACATGCAATGAACACTCTCACTATTTGGTCAGACAAAATATTCAGATTTGACAGGAATACAGATACAAGAATTCACATAGCACTATTCTTGTATGTAATATTTATACTCTTATTAGAACTATATATCAATGTTAAATCAATGTGCTTGCAATACAGCCATAATATAAGTACATGTACCTTTTTGATGACTTGAAACAATGCCTTTAGCATATAATAATTGTGATGAACTCATTATGTTTTAACTTTATCCCTTAATCTGCAATGTGAACATGATAAGCTTTTGATGCCAGAATTTAACCAGGGCCAGTCTGACTGCACATCTATAGTTCTACCAAGCTGTATGCCCATGCAAGTTCATTTTTTTGTAATCCCTTTAACTTCAAATGGACTGTTTCAAATTCAAAGCAGTACATTAAGTTTACATAAATACAAGAGGTAAAGGGTTAACTAATCTACAGTATAAGTTTTATCTTACAAGTGTTGGTTTAGGTCCAGCAATATCTCCTAGCGATGTATCCATCAGGGACATAAGAACACTCTCAGCTTCCGGGTTCACATTTATTATAACACCTGAAAGAAAAGTAAAATTGAAACTCATTTAATGCAGACTGGGAATTTTCTTTCAGAACTGTTCATGGTAAGCTTTGTAGAAATACAAGTTAAATGTATCCTTTTTAAAACAAGAGCTGTCGGTAGGACATCAACGCTCGACTATTCTTAGTGCTTGATAGTAAAAAAAATGCTTGATACAGTTACCTCCTCCTGTTTACAGGTTGGGGTCTTGATGGTGAACAAGTGTGCAAAGTTTCAAAGCCATATGTCAATGGACTTTGAAAATATTTGAACTATTACAAAAACTTTAACGTAAATTCTAAGTCGAAAAAGGGGCATAATTCTGTCAAAATGCTTGATAGAGTTACCTCCTCCTGTTTACAGGTTGGGGTCATGATGTTGAACAAGTGTGCAAAGTTTCAAAGCCATATGTCAATGGACTTTGAAAATATTTGAACTATTACAAAAACTTTAACATAAATTCTAAGTCAAACAAGAGCTGTCGGTAGGACAGCAACGCTCGACTATTCTTAGTGCTTGATAGTAAAAAAAAATGCTTGATACAATTACCTCCTCCTGTTTACAGGTTGGGGTAATGATGGTGAACAAGTGTGCAAAGTTTCAAAGCCATATGTCAATGGACTTTGAAAATATTTGAACTATTACAAAAACTTTAACGTAAATTCTAAGTCGAAAAAGGGGCATAATTCTGTCAAAATGCTTGATACAGTTACCTCCTCCTCTCTACAGGTTGGGGTCATGATGGTGAACAAGTGTGCCAAGTTTCAAAGCCATATGTCAATGGACTTTGAAAATATTTGAACTATTACAAAAACTTTAACGTAAATTCTAAGTCGAAAAAGGGGCATAATTCTGTCAAAATGCTTGATACAGTTACCTCCTCCTCTCTACAGGTTGGGGTCATGATGGTGAACAAGTGTGCAAAGTTTCAAAGCCATATGTCAATGGACTTTGAAAATATTTGAACTATTACAAAAACTTTAACGTAAATTCTAAGTCGAAAAAGGGGCATAATTCTGTCAAAATGCTTGATACAGTTACCTCCTCCTGTCTACAGGTTGGGGTCATGATGGTGAACAAGTGTGCCAAGTTTCAAAGCCATATGTCAATGGACTTTGAAAATATTTGAACTATTACAAAAACTTTAACATAAGTGGTTACGCCGACGCGGACACCAACGCCGACGCCGACGCTCGGGTGACTACAATAGCTCTACTTATTCTTATCGAATAGTCGAGCTAAAAAGGGGCATAATTCTGTCAAAATGCTTGATAGAGTTTCCTCCTCTTGTCTACAGGTTGGGGTCATGATGGTGAACAAGTGTGCAAAGTTTCAAAGCCATATGTCAATGGACTTTGAAAATATTTGAACTATTACAAAAACTTTAACGTAAATTCTAAGTCGAAAAAGGGGCATAATTCTGTCAAAATGCTTGATAGAGTTACCTCCTCCTGTCTACAGGTTGGGGTCATGATGGTGAACAAGTGTGCAAAGTTTCAAAGCCATATGTCTATGGACTTTGAAAATATTTGAACTATTACAAAAACTTTAACATAGGTGGTTACGCCGATGCGGACGCCGACGCTCGGGTGACTGCAATAGCTCTACTTATTCTTATCGAATAGTCGAGCTAAAAATATATATACACTGACCATCAAAACAATACCCACACTTCTTATTTTTCTTGTTTTCTTGCAAAATGTAAATATTCTGAATCAAATACAGTCTTCTTGCTTTCTTGTAACACATACTTATCAAATGACTAAAGTTTAAACTACACAAGAGTCATGAACAGTAATAGTAGTTGTGAATAAGTTAGTACTCAAATCTAACAATCCCTGCATTGAGAAGCAGAGCTTCATCACATAACGCTTAATTTTTTATTTTTTTTTTACTCGGGTTTTACGTGACACCAACACAGTATAGGTCATTTGGCGACGTTCCAGCTTTTACTGGTGGAGGAAGACCTCAGGTGCCCCTCCGTGCATTTTTCCAGGCACGAACGGGCACCTGAGTAGAACCACCGACGTTTCGTAAGCTAGCTGGATAGCTTCCTCACATGAAAGAATCTGAAGTCCCTGTTAGGATTCGAACCCAAAGCGGTGTAATGCTTAATTAACCACCCTCATACAACAAACTAAGTTACATCATTCAAGAAGGCAAAAAGGCAGAATATTTTTCAACTTCTAATTTCAACAGGTTTTGACAGGTTTCAAGTCATCCAGTTATAGCAGTAAGTAATAAGACCAGCAATGTCCATGCACATAAAAAAGTCTTCTGCATATTTAATTCACAACACTGAGTGAAAGTAGGTCAATTACAGAAAACATACCCCACTCTAATGGGTTTACACTTGTAATACATGTATACACTATACCTCTGATAAAATCCTTAACTTGATACCCTTCCACTGGGTTCTGTGTTGGAAACATCTTGGGTATTTCTGCACTATGAACAAAAGCCTACAAAATAAATATAATTTGAATCAGGCATTTCGTTAATTCAGTACTGATTTCACTATCAACTCTTCCGGACAATACATTACTAGTTACTTTGATTTCTTTATTAAACAGGACTTACAGCACAGAGCAAAACATGTCCATAAGTCATGTTCACCCTTGTTCCACATGAGATATGAATAGTAAAGTTTTGGCCAAGTTTTCTAAATTTTATAATACTGACCTACAGGGTCATGGCCACAGTGAGATCAAGGTCATGTGTCTCTAATATTATGTGAAAATTAGGCACTTGTCCAGAGATATGTTGTGTTCATACTATGTTGTGTTCAAGTATGAGGCACCTAGCTGAAGCTTATGGAATAAAGATGATATTGCCAAAGATAAGATTGTCCATAAATAGATTTCCAGATCAGACAATTAGCAACTATATCCCCTGATCTATCAACGAATTGATTGGGGCAAGAAAAAGTGTAAACCTTTAATTTACAGTATTATTTTAGCAACTATATTGTAGAATAAGTGGTTTTAAGTTACCAACCTTCAACTTGTCAACAAACATTTAAATGAAAGAAAATAAGAATTTTACATACAGTTATCCCAAGATCATCTATGTCTCTGTTTTTGCCATCATCCAAACACAATAACTGTACAACTAATCCAGTATCCAATATAGATGTTACCACGGCAACTGCTATATCCTTCATCTGTAAACTCTGAAATTTTAAAGAGGATATACTGACACATCAAAAGCATCAAAATACAGAATAATTAAATTTACTGTTGAAAATGTTCTTAAAAAACAACAACCTTTATCTGGGTAAATTAACTTGTCAAAAAAAGAAATAATGTATACCGGTATATCTTGAACTAACAAACGAAAGAACGAACTAACAAACGAAAGAGCGAACTAACTAACTAACCAACTAACTAACTAACTAAATAACCAGCTAGCTGAATAACTAGCTAATTGAATATCTAATTAGATATCTAGCTAACAGAATAACTAGTGAACTGAATGACAAGCTAAATAACTTACTGAATAACTAGCTAACTGAATGACTTAGTATAACAAGCAATTATCATAGTATTGCAAGCAATCCATAAGTCCCCTACCGGATAGAACCCCAGCAACATTCTGATGGGCCATTGGCCATTCACTAATGTGTAAATTTTTCTCTATTTTAAGTAAATTTGTTGGAAATGTTCTTTAAAAGTGATCACAGGAAAAAGTTTTTATGAACAGACAGACAGACGAACTGAAGGACACTCTAAAGTTAATATTTGAAACATCCCTGTTACCAAAATATAACATTTTAAAAAGCAAAATTCTTAAAGAGGAGATAACTCTGGAATTAAAGATGCAATTTCATAAAAAGTTTCAGCTCTTTTTGACTAGTCACAAATATTGTTATATTTGCCATGTTTTAAGCCTATTTGTTGCCAAGGCAACCAATATTTTTTCAAAATAGGGGGAACTGATAACACCTGCATAATCTCAAGATTGCCATCTACCAATATGTCAAGTTTCATAAAAATATTTCCAGTACTTTTTGAGTTACCACTGGATTCAGTTTATGTGTAAAATTTGCCATATTTTCAGTCTATGTGTTGCCATAGCAACCAGAATTTTCAACATAGGAAGAAAAGAAAAAAACGTGTATAATCTCCAGACTGCCATCTACACATATTACAAATTTCATAAAAATATTTCTATTACTTTTTGCGTTAACACTGGATCCAGTTTATGTGTAAAATTTGCCATATTTTCAGTCTATTTGTTGCCATAGCAACCAGAATTTTCAACATCGGAAGAAAAGAAAAAGACGTGCATAATCTCCAGACTGCCATCTATCCATATATCAAGTTTCATAAAAATATTTCCAGTACTTTTTGCGTTATCACTGGATCCAGTTTATGTGTAAAATTTGCCATATTTTCAGCCTATTTGTTGCCATAGCAACCAGAATTTTCAACATAGGAAGAAAAGAAAAAGACGTGCATAATCTCCATACTGCCATCTATCCATATATCAAGTTTCATAAAAATATTTTCAGTACTTTTCAAGTTATCGCGGGATCCAGTTTTGTGGACGGACGGACTGACGGACTGACAGACAGACGGACGGACAGACGGACGGAGGGTAAACCTAAAGTCCCCTCCGGTAAACCGGTAGGGGACTAATAACACATCCTAAATAGCACATAAAACACAAAAGTAAAAGGACAACCTCATTCTTATGACATGAGCATTATAGGCCCTTAGCGTTCTAGGAATAAAACATAAATTAAATACTCACATAATACAGATGTTTTCTAGCAGTGTGTGGATCAATACCCATAAACGTCTCCAGGGCTGGCATCTTGGCATAGGAATCTGAAACAATATTTACCTGAATCAAAACAAGCTGCCATGGTACAAAATCCAGACAGTACAATGTATAAGTTGACTTGAACAATATGTGTACAGTATACATCTAAATGGCATTGGACATCTGTAACTCTAAAAAACTTAAAATGACCTAAATCAAATGGCAATGCTATTTAGGGGATAATAATCTTCAAGGAATTTTGAGAGGGGATGAGAGATTGTGATGTATGCTTATCACGAATTTAAAAGCTGTCAAACAACATCTTAACGCAGGAAATTGATTGAAAATGGTGATAAAAGGGTATTGGATACCATGTAAAGATGCAATCACTAGCTATTAACTTTGACAGAGAGGTCTTGCTTGTGAATTGTTACTAGGGAAACTTTTTTAAACCCCATTAATCACCCACAGGTGATTAACATTTCCACAGTTAGTGTCGGCAGTCAGCATTTGGGGAGGTCGCAGGTCTATCTGGTTTGAATTTTTTTTTTTTGATAAAAAACCTGAATGGACTGATTAAAATTAAAAAGACTGGAACAACAGTCTTAAACGGGTTAAACATTTAATTACCCTAGAAAACTTTTAAAGGGAAAAACAACTTTTTGTAAAACATCACTTCAAGCTGCCCTTTGTTTCTAATTTTCTTTTTGGTAAAATGTGGGCTTTTTTTGAAAAAAACCCACAAAAAACTGGGGCCCTGAAAAAAAGGTAAAAATACATACTTGTAAAAAAATTAAATTTTTTAGAAGCCCCCAAATTTATTGAAATAATTCATATTAATTTATTCTGTGAATATATAAAAAAAATTGATAAACCGAAATTGAATATAAAACTATGCTGACAACAACCATGTAAATCCAATTTAATTGCAAGAGTCAAGTAATTGTAATATCCAACTTATTCTTAAAACCAGGGTTTCTGCCAGTGGAAATTTGGGAAATGGGAAATTTTACTCCTTGATTTTGGCTTGTAAATACCAAAATGTAATGAATTTCCTTCTTTACTTATGTAACAAGAACTTCGAATATCAGACATTTTGCAGTAGTCTCTGACTTTCAAATTTTGGAACTTAATGGACGTCATGTTTAAAACTTTTGACTACTTTTACTTGCTTTCATGTATTTGATTATATTATCAATGATTAAAAAAGCAAAATGATAAGACTTATTATATCTATACAAAATCTATCAGTATGAATGTGTGAATGCATGAACAAGTTTACATTGCATGGACAACTATCTACTTTAAACAACTATAGAAACTTGACAACATTTACTGGATTTCAGGCATCAGACTAATCTATATAATCAATAAAAAAGAAAAGAAAAATGGGAAAGAAAAATATTTGGGATTCATACTCAATTTCAGGCATCTGTGACCTATGCTTCTGTAGATGAAGGAAAATATTAGGAGGAACCCGTTCTTGTTCAAGTTGAAGCTGCCGCAGGAAGTCTGGTCCATGAAACTCCACGGCACGGCCTAACAAAACTTCATCCATGGTTACCTTCACTCTAATCTTCCACTTTACAGTTCTATAAATTTATTATGCTATATCAATGTCTTTGCCTGAAAATAAAAAAAATTCATTGAAGATTTTGTGCAACACTTTTTTATGAGGCATGTCTTTTTAATTTTAAATACCATACAAAAATGCATGGTCATGATAGAACTTACAATGGTAAAAAATCAGGTTATATTAACTTTTATAACAAAGGGGTATCTAAGATTATAGGAAGGTAAACTTTATAGTAACAAAAATAACTAACATTGGTACAATGTACATGGAAGTCTTCACAAGGGAAAAAACTTGAACAAATCACTCAGGTTGAATACAATATTTACCTCCTCTGACAGTTATCCAATATAATTCTAATACTAGAATTTAGTATCAGTTAAAAATATACTTGTAACCAAAAATTTACCCAGAGCCATTCCTTTGAAATTTCATTAACTTAAAGCTTAAATGAGCAACAACCTTTGCTGCCCAATTTCATATGTGAGGGTACATTGGTACACTGAAGTTCAAATATGTAGCAAGGAACATGTTTTTGTAAAGAAAAAAAAATCATGATATTAATGAACAGCATTTTCAACTAGTATTACTACCAACTAACACAGGCACGGACTCATCACTTAAAGCTGCAATCCAGCAATATAGTGGACATAACAATCAGACTATCCCAAACATTCATTTAAAATTTGATGATTCTGAAGACTTTACTCTGCCTGCATGTAACCCTGCCCTGCATGTAGAAGTTTGGGCATGAATGACACACTGTAGTGCATGCTGCATCCCTGTTTGGAACTCCCCACCATTCCACAAAGCTGATTTATTGATATATTTCTGAGGTTGGCTAGCTTGGTAAAACAATGGATCCTTCTAATATTAATACTAAACCCAAACAATAATTGCTACAGTCTTATTGAATGCAGTGAATAATTGAGAATATTGTGTGTCATTATAAAGCCTTTTTTCAAAGCCGCAAGTCCATTGTTAATGTCAAAAAATACTATGACCGTATTGATGGCCTCCCTATCGGATAAAAATACCGTGTTCCGAAAGTAAGATACGTTCATGCTAATTTCACGAGTGCTTCTAAACGAATAGCGCGCATAAAATGACCAACATTGAATATATATAGAACAAGAATAGCAGTATGTTCTTAAATCAAAACTATCAAATCTTTCGCTCTAATTTCAGTTCTTTCTTTAAAGTGATATTATGCCCATCCAATTAAATGGTCAGTGAACAGGTAAAACTCAAAATAACTCGACACTTTATCATAATTGTGATCAATTTTATATTTTACTTTGAACTAATGATCAATAAACATGAAGTTGAACAACGGAAATTTCTATAAATATTTCATTAAGAATTTATCAGTAAAGCTCAATTCTGATAGGAGCGTGACAGTCTTTTTAAATTTAAGTTGTTTTTATATTGTATCATAAACATTTTTCATTGTTGATTATTGGTCACTGTTTTGGTGCCAATGAGCATTTTTCTGGCATAAGCAGGTGCCCAAGTAGAACCATCAACCTTCAATCAACTAGATAGGAACCATCTTTAAAAGGTTGTCACACTAAAGTGTATGCATTAACATGTAACAACCTATCAAAAATAGGTTTAAGATAATTAAGGTGTACATCAATTCTGCATACATGTACATTTTACACAAACTGACATATATGTCAATGTTAATTGCTATACCCATAGACTGAAAACAAATTTTAAACACATAATCTGAATAGTCTAGGCTGTACCTTAAAGGGCGTTACATATAGGTTTTATATGCTTCTCAAATGGTTGCAAAAAAAGTGGTCAGAAAATGTATAAAATAAACAGCACATCATTGAAATGTATTGTCCACTAATTGGAAGCATTATGATGACAACATTAACAAATGACAATTTGTTTTTTAACACTGGCAGTCACTGAATTTAAGATCACAAATTCCAGTTTTGAATTTATTCTACTATATTTTATTTTTAACTAAATTTTCTTAAATTTTTTACTGGCCCGAACTAATATTCACTGGCCATGGGCCACCGGGCCAGTGCTAAATTTGATGACTGCTCTGACTATAGCCTGTTATATACAACTATAAATATTTTATTGCATTTAAACAACATGTACCATAACATAAATACAATTTCAATAGTATTAAAATTATACAAAGACATTTGAAAGACCATGCTCTATGTTGTGATCTGTATCTTTTTTATTAAAGTACATCATAACATGTATATAATTTCATACATTTATCACAAACTTTCAATGCTATTGTAAAAACATGAACAAACTATGGCTTTAATTGGGCTCCAAGTAAACCTGCAATTTAGATTAGCCTGTTGCCTGGCATCTTTTTCCAACACTTGACAAGTCACTTTTGGGTTCTGTAATAAAATAAACATTAAACAAATGTAACAAATGTCAAACTAAAACAGCATTTACAGAACATGAAAATTAATTGTTAACAAGAGGGCTACTGTGTCACAAACTATGCCCACCCATATGCCCAGTCTCGTAATAGTGAACATTTACCTCAAAATCCCACAATTCATTATAATGTTCATTCTTATCTGACCTTTGACCTCTGCATGTTCCCTTGACCAAGGCCAAATTGAAGGGGCCTAAATTAAATGCAGAAACCTGCCTCACAATGCTGAACATTACTTTTAATGTCTTACATAAAACTTTTATAAGTTATCAATAAAATATCTGTAAGTCCCTACCCTCTTCATTTTAAATGAAAGAAATCACTGCAATATAGACTTACCAAAATTGCAGGAATAGAATGTCACAAAAGCCTTGCGGGACTAAAACTTTTTCATTTTTCGTTGTTTACTTCTGGTTGTGAATCGAAATTGTTGTAGTTGGTATCAAAAAAAAAATAGTCGTTGACATAGTTGCCGACAAAAATCAGTTTTTGCTGCTTCGGAACGAATTGTTGTACCTCTAGTTATAATTATAGTGATGTCTTGAAATAGAACACTCGATGATATATGATGCTTACTATTTGTGTACTGATGATACACAAATTGGTAAACATACCAATTGGGTTATCATAAACCAATTTGTGCATTGTGCTTGACAATATACTTGACAGGTCTGTTTTAAGGCACTAGTCAATAGCAACCATAACCCTTCCACACGTTGGCCTATATGAAATCACAGACACTTACATGTAGTTATGTCAGTCACTCCCCTCCTTGATCCGGACTTGCATACATCACAGCTAAATTTAATTTGCAAACCCTACGTCATAAACTATTTTTGCATATTATTACAACCTGGTCACATGTCTTGAACATAAAACTTGCTGTCCGCTGTTTTGGCAATATTTAAACAAGAGGGCCATGATGGCCCTGAGGTCGCTCACCTGTATATAGGCCCCCCCACCCCCGGGCCAATTTTTACCCAAGGGCTTTTATTTGTTTATTTGAACAGACTTGGTAGACACCCATAAGAAGATGTTTCATGCTAAACATCTAAGTCCTAGCTCAT